ATCGCTTTGAATACGGTGTATTTCTTGTTTGACGGTTAGAATTTGTTTTAGCAGAGTCGTGACGTCGATGTAATCAAAAGTTACTGGCGGTAGGCGATGTAAGTCTTTAGCCACAAATGTAGGAAGTAAAGTGGGCTCAGTTTCTTTCAGCAGCTTAATAATATCTTGCAGGAGCCGCTTGCCTTTGCCATCTCCTTTGCGCGTAGAACGACAATTCACTGCCTCTGAGAGCACGGACTTCGCGGTTATTATTTCACTTTCCTTGAAATTGGTCTCACAGATTTGAACTAAACTTAATTCGTCAATAACGTCCAACTTGCATTGCAGAAAACACAAAAGTTCGTTTATTACAATGTTATTTGACATGTTTATAAACAAAAGCGGGAATTTATACGGGAATTTATACGGCGTCAGGACATATACGCACACGAGGCCACGAAATGCGCGGGCGTTCGCGACGAGTGCGCCGCGAGTACTGATACTTATTGACAGAAAATTAACAGAATTATTTTTTGTTTTATCCTGCCAATAAAAGGGCTCTTATTTTATATTGTATCTTTGGTTAAGATGCGCGGAAGGTATAACGGGTTACCGGGGCTCCCGCTCGAAGTGCAGGAGTAGGATTGAGGTGGTTTTTAGTCAGTAAGAGTCTGACACTCCCTCTCGCCTAACCCAAGGCGGGAGAAGTAGTTGGATGATTCTCCCCTCTCAAAAAAAAAATCTCTTGATATATTTTTGTTTGGCTTTTTTATCGTTATATAAGAAGTCGTATTTACAAGTTATTGTTCACTTTTTACAATTACTTATGTCGTAGGAATATGACTGAACTGTCGCGATCGCTGAGTGGTCGAGGGGTCTCGGATTCGATTCCCGGATCGGGCAAACTATTACTGCGTTTTTTTTAATTCTCAATAGTAGCACGGTGTCTGTAATTGTGCCCGGTATATGGCAACAGATTCACCTCCTATTAAATGGGACTGATAACATAAATAGTGAAAAGTTGGTGTTACATTGTTTAATGTACTATTTATGCCATGAGTCGCATGTAATATGGGGTGAGCCTATTGCCATATACCGGGCACATTTCCAGACTCCGTGCTACTACTGAGATTTTTTTTAAAAACCCAATAGTACTTTTCTCGACCCGGGAATGGAATCCGAGACCCCTTGTCCGGTAGTCGCACTTGCGACCACTCAGCAAGTTTGAACATTAATCACCACGATTATTTACGAATATTGGATCGATACCTTTATTAATACCGGAAGCTAAACAATAGTAGTGAAACCGGCTTTTATTATCAAGCTATTTATCAGGAGGTGCGAAAGTGCTTCGGATCATAGACATACGTAACAATATCATCACGTTTTTATTTAAAAAAAAATATTAAGCAGAAGGATAATTGGACCCTGCTAAGCAGATAAGATCCAGTCCACATTTTATTACTTTTGAGTAAATTAAGTTTATTTATTTATTTATTTATTTGTAAGCTTCATGCACAAAATGTACATAAGGTGGACTTAATGCCGCAGGCATTTTCTCCCAGTCTGACCTTTGGGTGATGCAGAGAAGAGTCAATGGTGTGAGCAAGAAGCAAGCAACTATTTAATAGAGCAAATAAAATAGATATACTTACATATTTCAGGGATAAACATAAATAAACATAATTATAATATATATACCTACACACGAGTACAACACAATACACATGCATGCACTCATACATATATACACACATACATACATACATACATACATACATACATACATACATACATACATACATACATACATACATACACACATACATACATACATAAATATAGACTGTGAGTAATTAGCGTGATGATTCAGCCACCCTCTCCAAGAGAAGTTCACGCACTTTCTGCTTAAATGATAGACGAGTCGACACCAGTTTAATGTAATCATATGACACAGTACCTATTCAATAGATGCTGTGTCATATGATTTTTTTATTATCTGCCCAACATTAAACGCCATTTAGTCAAAAGTCAAAAAATGTGGGCTGGATCTTTTCTGCTTAACAGGGTCCAATAATAATTGCAGTGTATATTTGTTTAATCTTATTTCACAATAAGCGTGCTGTTATCCAGGAAAAATAGAGGCCTTAGTAAGAATTTATTTTACGGAAATAGTGGAATTATTTGCCAGTCTGTATTTCCTGAAGGGTTGTACATATAGTCTGTATTTATAACCAGGGTGTCTTCAAGGCCCGAGTGAATAGGTTGCTTATAGGGACGACGTGCTCCATTGTAGACCGCATACCCGTGCGTACGGCGCGTCGCGTTCCGCGCTCGCCTCAAAGAGCCTTCAGACCACCACAGATTTGGCGCAATAGGGCTGATGCCGATACGGAGCCGCGGAGCACTTAACGGGTAACCGGGGCTCCGGCTCGAAGTGCAGGGGTAGGAACGGGGTGGTTTTTAGTCAGTAAGAGTCTGACACTCCCTCCCGCCTCACCCAGGCGGGAGAAGTCATTCGATGATGTTTCCTCACTTAGAAAAAAAATTCGTAGATCGCGTCATCGCTTACCACCAGGCGAGGTAGTGGTCAAACGTCGGCCCATCAAATATAAAAAAGTAATGAATCGAGACCGCGCTCTACGCTATCATTGGTTGGTTCATTGGAACCGGCCAATCAGAATGTCGGACGCGGTCTGGTTTCAATTAGTTACATTAAATGTAAAAGAAACTCGTACTAAGGCGTAAGACTCTGTACTATTGCTGTTTTAGATTGTTTAGAATATTTTAGTGTTAAAATCTGTGAAAATAGAAATCTCTATTTTATTCATGTAAGTACTATGTAGGTAGGGTGAATTCATCTAATTCTGTGACTCGCCTAATAATTGGGTTTAGTAAATTTGGTAGAACTCTTAGGTTTCTAGAAAAAAATCTGATTATTTGTGCTAATATTCCTCATAAAATACTGATTAAAACTCATGCGGAGATTGAATTAAATTAATTAATAATTTATTGGTATTTTATTACTCAAATGCCTTTGTCACGAAGTTAGATGAGTTCACCCTACATTTTTCGGAATAGTGTAAATATATACAATTATTTGTACACATAGATTGTATAAATCAAATAATCAAAATTATTGAGTAAGTAAATAATTTCATATAACATTTTATATAGAAGTAATAGGGATGATGACGGGATACGAAAATTAAAAATCTAATTAGTCCGTAAGTTAGGTAATGAAAAAATATTAGACACGTATGTTATATTGTCGTATAATAAAACAATACTTAGATAAAACGAATCAAAGTTTAGGAGTGGGGGCTAAAACGTCATTTCTACGTATAAAATGTACATAGAAGTGACGTCACGCGACATTTCATAAATCAATATATCGTCGAAAGTATTCGTTTCTGTAAGAAAATAAAAAATACGTGTCTAATGTTTTAAAATTACCAGACGGACATTTGAATAAAAATTAGGCGTCTACCCTATTCTTCTTCGTGGCCGAGCCATAGCACTAAGCTGAGCTCCGGCCTTTTGCGTTACGACGCACCATGGACATTTTGTGTGTACCTGTATTGTGTGTCATGGCATAATAAATGGCTTTTCCTTCTTTCTTTCTTTGAATTAAAATGTCCTGGTCGTTTCAAGTTCATAACTTAAAAAATCTCACAAGAAGTTTTTGTTTAAAAAAATAAGTAATCATTTAGACAACAATATATTCTTTGGACACTAAGCATTAATGTTAAAACTAATCACTGATAACTTCAAATAAAAACCGCCAACGTTTTGACACCCATGATGAATTTAGTATTTTTCGATAAATAAAAAAATCATCTTCTTTTCTTAGAATTACTAAAGACAGCTTTGTGTTAAGCAACCACTCAGCTTTACAAAGGTATCATAGATTTTTATATACATTATACATATTTGTATATACCTATATAATATTATATAAAAATTAAAAATGCTCGATTTGAACATAAGACCATAATAATAATTTAAACCTATTTGTGAGTGTGTGTGGGATCAAAAACTAACAACTATTTCACTGGTTTTATTTGGGTCAATTATTTTAATAATGTTTTTATAATAACTATCGTGAGACATACTAAATTAACTAAAATCGCGGGTAACTCACGTGAATATACTGAGCTGCGCGACATCGCCGCGACCGCGCACGCTGCTCATGAGGAAGAACCCCTGTGTGGTTCGAAACTAGTAGAGCTTTTCTCAGTATATTCACGTAATTAACCCGTGATTTTAGTTATTTTAATAATAAATAAATACAAACTAAATGCGAGTTATGTTTGTTGTACTTTCACGGCTAAAACTACTAGATCATCTTTGATAGAATTTTATACAGATATACAACGCGAAATCTATATCAAAATCTACGAAACACTAGACGTAAATTTGTATGCACTATTCACATCGCACGTGCCGCCCGACGAGGAATACCTCTGCGAGAATTACATGGCGTGATGTTTTGATGTACTCTGAGTTTGTATGCTCTTTCGAAGTTTGCTTTTTGCAATGGTTCACCAGACATTGTATTTCTTTGTAAAACTATTGTATTACCAAGACAGAACCGAAAATGATATAGATTTACGGTGTAGATTAAAAATAAATGCTCGTTTGTACCTTGAACAGTAAGTAAAAATATTAATTTAAGTAGTTCTGTTAAGATATGTTTTGTATGTGTTTTGTAAAACATAACAATGGCACTTTATAAATCACAGTATTTAAGCATAGTTGGCGAGAAATTATAAATATTTTAACCAGTTACATTAATAAGTCTATCGCCATATAATAACATTATGATGCTTTAAAAGTTTAAAACATATATTTTAAAATTTTCATCATAGAGACCAAATACCAGATACTTGTAAGATATTTTTTATCCTTTAAAATCTGGTATTGTTGTATTGTACATATTATTATTTTGTTATACTTTGTTGTTTTTTGATCTCATCTTTATTCTTTCAAGTTTATTATTATTTTTTGTATTATATAAGTATCTGTATTTTTATAGTCTTTGTATTTGTGTGCCTACTTGTTAAATAACTTTTTTCTTTCTTTTTTCATATTGAAGATTTTGTTCCCACACACATTAATTGGCTAAAAATTAAAAAATAATGAAAACAATAACAAATATATATCTATTACATCACATTTAAGTCTTTTTGGTTTCCTCCTTCGATTCTATTTGCTGAAACTCTTTTAGAAGCGCGTCCTCGTCGAATAATGGCGATGAATCTGGAAAATTAAACGGTTGAATGTAAATGCCATGTCAATTTATTTAAGGAAGGGCTATGCAAAGATGAAGTACAGTATATATGTATAGTAGAAGCAGTTTGTTGTTATACGTAATTTTTTTTTATAAAGCCCGCCTCCGCATTTCAATACTGCTGCAACTTCTGTAAGCCAGGATCTACAGTAGATACAACCATGAAAACACCGGAACACTGAAGTCCGGCGCGTCCCAGGGACATGAATGTCTTGGTTCCCGCAACGAAGTGAATTAGAAGATATTATAAGAGTATAAGAAAAAACGATAGTTTCCACTTCCCTCGGTGAATTACTGCAGGAGACAGAATGAATTAATCGATGCACAATCTTGATATGACAAACTATAATAATATTTCAATCAATTCCACCAAGGACTTAAAATAGCCAATAGTACCCATTATTGTCTATCCTACTACCCTGATCAACTAGGACGTTATATACAATTCAAAACATTTTTAACCTTCAAGTCCTGACGTGGTTTACTCATACCATAAATGGTGACATGACGTAGGTATGTCAAATACCTTAATAAATAATCGAAATGGATTACTTTTGTTTACTGATTAACACAGTATTTACTTGTATTATGATCTGTCCATTATTATTCTATTAAGAAAGTGCAAAAAAATAACATTTTCGAATGAAATCAGCGGTTTTTGATTCAAATTCTTTAACTTACTCGTTGAGTACCGGCCACCGGTGACCGCTTGGTGTTTGACAGTTTAATCTTAAAATATAAATATTTCGCATAACTTAAAAAAAAAGTTACAATCTTAGCTACAAAACAATTATTTGAACGTGTTTTTGGTAAATTCTTATATTGGTGAATACGCCGTCTATGAAACACCCACGTCAGTAGTTAAAGGTTAAATTGTTTTTGGTATTGCTATATAAATTATGATAATTATTTATCATTCTCACCTTCTCGTTCCAACTTCACTTTACCGAATAATTCCTTGTCTTCTTGCTCAGTCTTTATCTCCGAACGGAATTTACTCTGGAAATTGTACAATAACGTTATTTTTGATAATATAAAAATAAACACATACATAACATCATGCCTTTCGCCTCAAATGGGTAGAGGTACACATTATAGCACTTAATGCCACTGTACTTACAATGTAACACCCACTTTTCACTGTTATTTGTGTTATGAGTCCCATGTAATAGGGGGTGAGCCTATTGCCAATTTCCGGACCCCGTACTACTACTGAGGTTTTTTTAAAAACCCTGTAATACTTTGGCCGACCCGGGAATCGAACCCGAGGCACCTTGTCCGGCAGTCGCCTCATACTAGTACTTCTGTGTCGTGGGTGCGTTTACAAACATACAAGTTCACATCCACATGAGACCCAGACCCGGAACAACAATTTGTGGATCACACAAAGAGTTGATCCTTGCGGGAATCGAACCCACTGCACGTTGAGAGGCAGCCGGTTGCCCAGCCACTGCGCCAACCGTGCATTCTATTAGATTAAACCACAATAACAATTTTTCTGCAATAAAACTTACAGACCGCCTGTTGGTCACTAGTCACTGTAAGCATTCACCATTATTGATGACAAGAAAAAGAATATTTTTCTAGCAATCTATATATATAAAAGAAAGTCGTGTTAGTTACACCACTTATAACTCAAGAACGGCAGAATAGATTTGGCTGAAAATTGGTATGGAGGTAGCTTAGAGCCAGGAGACCGACATAGGATACTTTTTAACCAACATTTATTTTTAACTTTTTACCGAAAATCACGAACGGGGACGGGAAAAAATGGGATTACACGCGTACGAAGTCGCGGGCAGAAGCTAGTAATCGATAAAACCACTTACTTTGATAAAATCGGGCAGTCCATCTTGTAGATGGTACCAGCTCAAAATAAATATAAGCGACACGAAGAACAGATTGGTGCAGATACCTGGAACAAAATAATATATTTTTGTTATTATTTGCGTTAATTCAAGTGCGGGAGAGCCATGCTTCGGCACTGCTAGGCCGGCTCGACCGGAGTGATACCACAAACGAGTAGAAAACCATAATAAAACAACGCTTGCGTTATGTGTCGTTATGTGAGTGATGTTATCGGAAGTCTAATTATCCTCCCCAATCTCCAAATCCCCAACAATCCTCAAATTCCTAATCCCCAAAAGGCTGGTAACGCATTTGTAAACGCCTCTGGTGTTTCGGGTGTAGACACACCATAGGTACATAAAAATTAACTTTATTGCTGAGTAATATGTATAGTCAAAAATTTATAGAAAAACCTATTTAGACAGTTTAGGGTAGCTTATATCAAATTATTATAAACAAGTTGGAATATAGATTTATAACCTCAACAAAAGTTAATGGGTTCAAAAATTGGGTATTTGCCAACTAGTCAAATTCAATACTTTTTTACTTTTTTAGAACTGTCAAAAACGACAATTTCATTTTCTATAAATTTTGTACGAGATTGTGTCACGTGACGTCACGTTTTTTAAGGACAAACAGCATACTTATTTCTTAAAATTAGCTGGAAAAATACTAAAATTACGTTAGCCATAAAATCAAATTGTTGAAAGTGTGATTATTTTTAAATATTTTATTGTATTGAACAGTCGAAATAATTTATTTTTGATTAAGGAAAGTACCCAATTTGGGACGTATTATAAATAACATCCTAACTCGTCGAGTACCGGTTTTATAGACACAATTAAAGAACAATAGGTCGCGGTCACCGGTGACCGCTTGGTGTTTGACAGATTAAACAATAAAATTAAGTTATAAAAATGCTATAAACAAACCGCGACTCACCGAACACAGCCGATATCTTGGGCCAGTTGAACATGAGGTACCGCAGCCCCGTGAAGTGTGCCTGTACGTGTAGCTCGCTCGAGTACACCTGCGCGAACCGAGACTGCAGCTCTACGTACGCGTCCGTCGCTGGCTTCTCCTGTAAAAGTGTATACTTGTTTTTACAAACGTGATCCTAAAGGCCTGGTAGACTTTAATCGATGACAGCGCCATCTACAATTAGCATCTCTAAATTAAACAACCGATATCGTTATTTTGATTTCATTGTAATCGCTATTGGTTTTGGCTTTGCAATACCAATTTAAATTTCAACTGCCATCGCAATCGGTTGCGGTGCATGCTGCAAGTAGTGGCTATGAACCCCGAGCGTGGCTTGAAACTAGTCGAACCGTCGAAAGCTATGCGAATAAACCATAATTGGCTATGAAATGATATATTTGTCTTACCGGATCATCTTCGAAGTCACTGAAGAGTTCCACCTTCAGCTGTTGTTTCTCTTCGTCCACGCCGCCGAGGTACAGCGGCGAGAAGACAAACGTCCTCATTATGCGATGTAGGAGAGATCTGAAGGACAACAATAAAGCATTGTAAAGTTCCATTTCATATGTTTATAATATATTTTATATATTTGACTGCCTTGTTAGCCGAGTGGTCCCAAGTGCGACTGCCGGACAAGGGGTCTCAGGTTCGATTCCTGGGTCGGGCAAAGTATTACTGAGTTTTTAAAAATCTCAGTATATGGCAATAGGCTCACCCCCTATTATTACATAAATAGTGAAAAATGGGTGTTACATTGTACAGTGGCATTAAGTGCCGAAATGTACCTACCCCTTCGGGGATAAAAAGGCGTTATGTTATGTTTATATATTTGGTATACAGGTTTAGTTTGATCATTAAGGCGAAAATATGGGGGGTATCCTAGAATGTTTTCCGGAAGTTTTGAAAATCGGCAATTTTGTAGATCTTGATGTGTTCTCTCCGATTTCGATTATGCTCCCTCTTTGCGGTTTGCGGTGCACATTTGCAGATTCAAAGCAGGAATTTTTGTTTAAAAATAACGACTATGACATAAAGATAAGTGCCCAAGACGAAATCTCCTATTACAAAAAAGCTGTCGAGACATAAATTATAGGAAATTGTGAGTACTTTAATTTTGTAGTTAAAGTTTTTTTCCTAAAATGCACAGGGAAATAAATATTCCAAAAAAACTGTTTTTGGCCGCCATTTTTTCAAAATTAGCCAGTGCAAACAGACAGAAAGATAGACAGACAAATATTGTAAAAAAAAATATTTTGGTATGTGTACCTACCGTACTATCGTATGTATATTCAGATGCATGTAGTAAAAAGCGGTTATTTTAATATTACCAACAGACACTCCAATTTTATTTATTTGTATAGATATAGAGTAACTATGAATAGGGTAGTTTCCAGGGTAAGAAAATTAAAAATCCTATTAATCCGTCAGTTAGATAATGAAATAATATTACACACGTATTTTTTATTTTCTCGTATAAAGTTACAATACTTAAATAAAATGGAGTTAAGTTTAGGAGTGGGAGGTAGTTACGTCACAACGTGCTATATTTTGTAGCACGCTGTGACGTCACACGACATTTCAAATAAATATACCGTCGAAAGCATTTAATTTTGTAAGAAAAGAAAAAAATACGTGTCTAAAGTTTTAAATTTCACCAGACGGACATAAAAATAAAATTTAGGAAACTACCCTATTATTGTGGTACATACCTGTATCTGATCATTGCTGATCGGCACGATGAGGAGACCAAGTATCCACCCTTGGCGCGCATCTGCACGCAAACCATGAACATACCTATAATCATACACGTTTTCAATTAGGTATTATCAAAGTCAAAGCATTTATATCAATTAATGTTTAACTCGTCGAGTACCGGTTTTATAGACACAATTAAAGAACAATAGGTCGCGGTCACCGGTGACCGCTTGGTGTTTGACAGTTTAATAGGAGCAGTTGCCTCGTTGGCCGAGTGGTCGCAAGTGTGACTGCCGGGCAAGGGGTCTCGGGTTCGATTCCCGGGTCGGGCAAAGTATTACTGGGTTTTTAAAGATTCTCAGTGGTAGCACGGAGTCTGGAATTGTGCCCGGTATATGGCAATAGGCTCACCCCCTATTACATGGGACTCATAACATAAATAGTGAAAAGTGGGTGTTACATTGTACAGTGGCATTAAGTGTTAAGTTAGGTTTAGATTTAGATTAAGTTTAGTTAATATGTTAATGTGTATGTTTAATAGGCACTTTTGAAACGTCAAATTGAATCAATCTTGTACACTTTTATGTGTGGGAGTCCCATGCTTCGGCACAAATGGGCCGGCTCGACCGGATAACACAGCCTCACAGAATGCCGACGTGTAACAACGCTTGCGTTGTGTTTCGTCGTGTGAGGTTACCGAAGACCCAATTACGCCCCCTCCCCAGTCTCCCTAATCCCCGAATACCCTACAATTCTCAATTCCCAAAAAACCGCTAACGATTTGTAACGCCTCTGGTGTTTCAGGTGTTCATGGGCGGCACAGATTGCTTACCATCAGGTGATCCGTCTGCTCGTTTACCGGCTTATACCATAAAAAAATCTCTTATACAAGATCAGGCATATGACAGCCAGTCAGCGATGAAACAACAATTTGTGGATCATTCAAAGTTGCTTCATATGGAGATCAAGTACCGTAAAACAGTTCACAGAAGATGAGTGAATAAATGTTGGGAAAATATTTTAACATTTATTCACCCCATTCCTGTATCTATTCATCCCTCGAATTCTATTCACCCCGTTTTACCGTATATTTAAATTAATTGGGTTCTGGCTTGGCCACTTCCCATTTCTGATTACCCTTGCAGTAAATAGGAGGTGTGATGATATGAATACATAATTAAATTCTCTCTAATATTACCCTTTACTCATAACTAGTAGAAAACCGTTAGATAAATGATTGATAAGAGCATGGACCCTTTTATCTCTGCATGATTGAATTCTGCTGACTCCCTGACCTTTGATAGGCTGAATACTCTCTCTTGAAGATAAGGTGAGGTGTTAGAATAAAAAATTCCATTGATATTAATTTATGTTTTTATAATAACTATAGTGAGACATAAATTAACTAAAATCGCGACGTCGCCGCGACCGCGCACGCTGCTCATGAGGAAGAACCCCTCTGTGGTTCGAAACAAGTAGAGCTTTTCTCAGTAAGCGGAAGTTTGTTTTTTGTTTGTTTGTTTGAACGAGCTAATCTCCGGAACTACAAATCTGATTTGAATAATTCTTTTTGTGTTGGATAGTGCATTTATCGAGGATGGCTATAGGCTATAAAACATCACGCTACAACCAATAGGAGCTGAGCAGAGCGTGTGAAACGCGCGGAAGTAGCTAAGTAGTAATAAATACAGCGTTAATGCTAAGTTGTCTAATAAATGAACCATACCTAAGTCTTTATTGACTTCGGACTCTGGCATCTCCAGCACTAGTTTGATCCTGTACGGCTGCTTCTGCATCAGGATATTGCTGGCCTTCGTCAGCTGTACGTACGCATACGGATACGAACATATTCCCGCTTTATCTTCACATGGTCTGGAAAATAGGAGATATTAAAATAATTATGTGTAAAATGAAACAAGTAATACTTTTGTATTAATTTTATTTATATTTCAGAGATTACAACAATAATTTGACACTATCTTTATCTTAAGTTAGTAAGATTCTCGGTTCCTCTTATTAAGTTTTTTTTTTTAAGTAATTCTTGGTTAAGTTAAAGGTACAAGGTTCAAGGTTCTTCAATAAATAATCATTGCAAATAAATATCTAATCTATTCTATAACATAAGGACAGGCAAATAGGCATATACCGGGCACAATTCTAGACTGCATGCTACAACTGAAAATTTAAAAAAAAAACCAGTAATACTTTGCCCGGCCTAGGAATCGAACCCGACACCCCTTGCCCGGCAGTCACACTTGCCAAACGACTAGGCCAATGACATAGTTAATAAGTGTGAATATGTTATATTCTTACACTCTTATTTGACCAAACAGTAAAAATGAAATAAATTGTGAATTTGCAAGTTGTTTGTTGTTGTTGTTTGAGATAAATATGTGTTATCATTGCAAATCTTATCATTTGTAAATAAAAATAAATATCAGAATTTCAATGTATTCAGGCTGTAAACGGTATGCCTTAAAAAGGTGGCCAGCAGGTGATGGTAAAAAACCAGTTATATTTTCATAAAAGAAAGGAATTAAATGTTTCTATAGTGTTGTAATAGTTGTAATCAACTGCTTAAGGCTGATGTTGCATGAATGGCATGAAAGAAAAACAATTAAAATTGTAAAAACAATTTCTTTTTGTCAGCGTTTCGGAAGCATTCTGTTTACACCATATATGTCTGAGTCTAAACAATGGATCATATAAATGGACTCGCTTATGATAATCAATCATTTATTGTATATATGTGTGCAAAAGCCAAAATAGTATATAATATTCATATATAACTGTTTTTAAAAGTATTATAAGGATACTTACTTGAACTGAAAGTGAACAGGCCGCACATGAGTAACATTGGGCATATAAATATTGTAGAAGCCGACATACATAAAAATTGATAACCACAGTATAACAGTTACAAATAACGTCACTATAGCGACCCTGTACATCAACTCTTTAACACTCGTAATACTTTCATCAGTCTTTTTCTTATAACCCAAATATTGATTCACTAAAAACGCTTCGACAGGCTTCCGAAAATATTCCCGCGCCACCGTAAAAGGATTTAAAAAACGTAACACACTTTTTTCAAACATTTTTTTTTTTATTTATTTAAGTCAAGGAAACTGATCTGTGTTTAATCGAGGGTAGATAAATGTATAGTAATGATAATGCATATCTTTAGTACAAGGGTTAAGTCCGCTTCGTTGATAGAAGCGTGATAGATGACGCAGTGCACCACGGATGCTTGGAGATTAAATTGATAGCGACGGAGGTCAGTTTGTTTAATAAAATGTTGATAATTATTTTTGTTATTGTTGATAATGCGCAGATAAGACCTACTGACAGGACAAATCCAAAAGTTTTTGAGTTTTGACACTTTCTTTGGGGACTTTGAACGGGCTGCCATAAGTCAAAATCTGGATTCCTTGGATTTTGCAGCAATGAAGAGGTTTGAAAGCACTCAAACCGGGTTTTCAAAGATATTTCAAACCAATAATAATGTGTTGAGGAATTGTAAAAAAAATCACTTATACCACAAGAAATATTAAGTATAAATAAAACTACATGCACACACACTCGACGATTCCAAAATTGTAGGGTAACTCATTTAGTGGGCAACCCTACTATCATTCTGGTTTCGTTGCATGCATCAGATTAAACTGTTCACAAATAAAACTACTGAGAAAGTTCGTAATAATTATTCTATTACAATTTTTTTTGTAGCCATAATAAAAAGGTTGGCATTGGAATTTCTTTTAAAATTTTATTTATTTTGTATTTTGTTTCTATACCAAAAAGGTTGAAACGAAATCAATGTGCTCCTTAAAATGAAACGGAACGCATCTGCTGTCCGATTTTGACACATTTTGAATGTAGTTCAGCGTTTACGAAGTAGATTTTAAAGCACGAAAACGAAACAGAACTATGTTTAAATTTGGTATCAGAAAGAGATAGAGATAAGTTTTCAAACTCCCAATGACATGGAATCCAAAAGTTCTGATATTGTCAAAAACAAAACAAATTTCAAAAAATCAGATCGCGAATTTAGATTTAATGCTAATTAAAAATTAAGCAAAATGTTACGTTTACCAAATTATAAAGTATCCTACCTGCAAATACAACAGAGGTTTGTAACGAGTACAACAAACGTCGTTTTGAAACCTAATGTTTCTGCGAATGCTTATCAGCCCCGAACTGTAGAAAAGAAGAAATATGAAAATTGGGAGAAGTATAATCTGTTTACTGCTGAGAATTCTAGCATGAAACCTCGGTTCAGTATGGTACTACCTCCTCCGAACGTCACCGGATCGTTACATTTAGGTTAGAATTTTTATCTTTTTTATTATTTTGTTTTTACCATTTTTTTAAATGAAAATTATTATTTAGACAATATCTTGGTGTAGTTGTCGAGCTAAGATTCCTATACACGGCAGTCTTTATTACTGTAAAGTCCACAGTCCTATGGGGCATCTTTTTACCTGTTTACCATTCTACCAATTAACATTCAAAGTTATTAATGAAATTGAAAATAAATCAGAATGAAAAATAGATTAGAATATAGTATAAACATCATGAATTAATTCAATACTGTAGTGGGTCATAGGTACCTAACTTGCCTAGTCAACAAATGTACAATATTAACTCGTCGAGTACCGGTTTTATAGACACAATTAAAGAACAATAGGTCGCGGTCACCGGTGACCGCTTGGTGTTTGACGGATTAAATTGAATAACTGTTCCATTTTTTAAATTTGATGGCCATCTCGCCTGACAGTAAGCAATCTTATTGGATTTTCATAATATTTAATAAAAATATTATTGGTGTTCCAGGTCATGCGTTAGCCTGTACAATCCAGGATGTGATTATAAGACACAGAAGGTCCAGGGGCTACAATGTGCTCTGGTTGCCCGGTATAGACCACGCTGGAATTGCTACACAGGTACAATACTATGTATATACTTAAACTCGCACCTTTGACACATCTACAGACAGGATGTAAACGGACCGAGCCACAAGACCTAACGAGTTGCCGGGGCTTCGGCTCGAAGAGCAGGAGTAGGAATGGGGTTGTCTTAATCAGTAAGAGTCTGGCACTTCCTCTCGCCTAATCCAAGGCGGGAGAAGCAATTGGATGATTTTCACCACCTCAAGAAATAGTTCAAAATAGGTGAAATAATACTTTTTGTCAGCGTTTCCAGAGGGTTACGTTTGTATCCTGTATGTATGTTCTTTAATCGCTATCACATACATGCATGCTGGGTAAAAATGCTCTGCACTTGCGACTTTTTCAATTTATTTGTTAATCAACTTTGATATAGTTATAGTGGGTTAATTAAATATGAAGCAGGATTCCAGGCATAGAGCCTGAAACTGTCTAGCCACTACTAAATATTTTTGAGCATTGGTTTACTTGTTGATTAAACTTGGTAACTCAACTGAGTAACCTATGGAGTTTCTTGCTCGTTCTTCTCCATAGGAATCTACACCTTGGAATGAGCAAATAGCTTCACTTTTAATTTTCTTTTGTTGACGTTCAAAAGTGCCATTCTGGTCTAATTGAAATAAATGATTTTGACTTTTGTTCTTTTTTACAGGGTGTAGTAGAAAAATATCTGAAAACAAAACAGGATATATCACGCAACGACATAGGGCGGGAAAAGTTCCTACAAGAAGTTTGGAAATGGAAGGAGAAGCATGGACATGCTATAGTTAACCAGTTGAAAACACTTGGATGTTCCCTGGACTGGAGCCGACAGACTTTTACCATGGACCAGAAACACACACACGCTGTCAACACAGCCTTCATAAAACTATTTAAAAAAGGCCTCATATACCGCAAGAAGGCTTTAGTCAACTGGTGCAGTACATTAAATTCTACAGTCTCCGATATCGAAGTTGACAATGTCACTTTAAATGGCCCAAAGGAGATCCAAGTACCCGGGTATGATAGACCCGTTAAGTTTGGTGTGATATACCATTTTGCATATAAGGTGTATGATTCTGATGAGGAAATTGTGGTTGCTACTACAATGCCAGAAACTATGTTGGGCGATACCGCGATTGCTGTACATCCTCAAGATAAAAGGTAATTTTAGAGTTGAGTTTTATTCAATCTCTATTTCTTAGTACATTAGGTTGAATTTAGAAGCAAAATATTCAAAGTTCATGATATAGTTCAGTAAAATTCTTATTCCCCCAAGGATAATTAAAAGCCCGATTTTATAGGATTCCTACTTCCATCCCTTAAAAAATCTCTGATTGTTTCTATAGCTCCAAATTAGGGCGCGTTTACACGGCACGCGCACGCTCACCGCACGCCACGCCACCTGCATCCAACTCGCATTGAAATTTGTTTAATTAGAATTTGAGTCTTATAACCCTTCGATAGATCTCAAATTCCATTTACCAAGGTCTACGCGCGTGTGCGGCTTGAGGGCGGGCACAACGCGTGCGCGGGTGCTGTGCGTGATCGGCGCGTATCATCTGAATATGATGATAGAAATACTTATATCTCATTTACAGGTATAAACATCTGGCAGGCAAGCAAGTTTGGCACCCATTCAGAAAAGAAACGATACCAATAATACTAGATGAATTTGTTGACACGCAATTTGGAACCGGCGTGGTAAAGATAACACCAGCGCACAGTAAAGTAGACTGTGAAGTAGCAAAAAAGAATCAGATACCATCAATTCAAGTTATCAACGAAAAAGGATGCATGACAACTTCTGACCAGTTCAATGGAATGAAGAGGTACGAGTGCCGGCAGCTGATCTTGGAGACACTAGATAACTTAGGCCTTTTAAAGGATGCCAAACCACACTCAATGACCTTACCAACATGCAGTCGAAGTGGAGGCATCATAGACCATTTACCGAAAGAACAGTGGTTCTTATCCTGCAGCAAGCTGAACAAGAAAGCCGCCACACTAGTGGACAAAGGTTTGCTGGAAATTGAACCAAAGAAGTTCATCAAGTACTGGCAGAATTGGATCGGAGATGACCGCGACTGGTGCATCTCCAGACAACTTTGGTGGGGCCATCAAATCCCAGCCTACAAATGCAGTGTCGATCGAAATATAGTTTGGATCGCCGCTCAGAACGAAGCTGCTGCTAAAGTTGAAGCCTCAAAAATTTTAAGAACCTTACCCGACCTGATCAAAATTGAAAGAGATCCAGACGTACTTGACACCTGGTTCTCATCAGGAATCTATCCATTCGCAGCGCTAGGCTGGCCGTATTCTGTCAAGAAAGACTTTGAGAAGTTCTATCCCTTAGATCTGCTGGCGACGGGACACGATATCTTAGGGTTCTGGGTCCATAGGATGGTGATCCTCGGACTAGAGTTAACAGATCGGTTACCATTCAAAAAGGTTTTACTGCACGGTGTCATTTGTGATAGCAAAGGCGCCAAGATGTCCAAAAGCAGAGGAAACGTTATAGATCCCCTAGACGTTATTGAAGGGATTAATATGGAGAATCTTAGGGACAAAACGAAAGAAATGCACAGAAATGGAATTTTGAGTTTGGCGGAAATGGATAAGGCTTTGTCGTATCATCAGGCAAACTTCATCAATACTAGAGGAATACCGGAGTGTGGGGTCGACGCATTGAGGTTCACTTTGCTGTCACACGATATTAAATCTCATTTTGTCAACTTCGATATTGCGATGTGTCACTCTAACAAACTCTTCGGCAATAAGATTTGGCAGAGCGTCAAATACACTCAGCTCTCGTACTCCAAGCTACCCCCCTTAAACGCCGAGTTGTCCAAGTCGAACCTCACGTATTTCGACAAATGGATCCTAAGCAGGTTGTCAGAAATGGTAGCGACGGTCAACAAATCTATGAATAACAACGACTTCCATTTAGCTACGAAGGCGATAAGGACTTTAATGTACAACGAGTTTTGTGATATTTACTTGGAGGCTACCAAACCAGGGTTTGGCGGCAAAAATTTAGTAAAGGCGTATGCTCACGCGCACACATTATCCGCAGTTCTGAATACGTCACTAAGGTGTCTCGCGCCGTTTATGGTATATTTGACAGAAGAACTAATTCCAAAAGTGCCCACCTTCGCAAATAACATCGTATTCAATTTTAAAGACAGTCCTAACAAATATTATGACTTCCCGTTTTCAGAAGATTTTACGGAATGGAAAGACGACACTATCGAGAAGCATGTGAATCGATTTATGAACACGATATATTTAATTAGGGAGTTGAAGGCTCTTTACAACATTTCAAATAAAGAGCGCCCTTCAATTTACATTAACAATTTAGATGAAAGTTTGAGAGACGACATAGAGAGTAATCAGGAGGTATTTTTAAATCTATCGCGGTGTAGTGATGTAACGTTTAAAGCGGATTCGGATAAAAATTATGTGTCCGGTATTCTGGATAAGGACACAGAGGTGAACGTGGAATTGTTGGGCGAAGATGTGGAATTGGCGATTTATGCGGCTAAGATAAAACTAGAAAAGAAAATTCAGCAGTTAAATGACAGTTTGTCGAGATTAGAAGCCAAGTTTGCTAGTGGACATTATTTGGCCAATGCCCCTCAGTGGGCCCAAGCCGCGGACAAACAGAAAATAGATTTGAAGAAGAAAGAAATAGCCCAATTACAAAGACTGATGTAGATTTAAAATTAATACTAAAACTAGTTTGTAGGTGATATTTAACTGGCTCTCGGTTTGTGCAATAAATTAAATGATATTTGTTAAAACAAACTCTCGATTGAAAGCAAATATTCTTGTGTGTTAGTTGTCAGTGGTACAATTTAAGTATTTAAGGATCATTTTTGCACTATTAAGTTGTTACCATGGGTAACTGTTATCCTTCTATTGCCAAATGCAAATTTTTATAAAAAATTTTAATTACTTACCTTGAATGTAGTATTTGTATGAACGCATTATATCGAGTGTTGCCTTTATAACAGTACCTAATGGAATATTAGGAGACAATCAAAATCAAAATTTTTAAATATCCAATATGGTGACTTCAATGCCATGAAATATTTAAATCTAAATAATTATGTAACATAGTGAAAAATTAGTAAAATGACTTAAAATTGTTAAATTATAAAAATAATGTTATTTAATGCATTTGTTTGTAGTATAATAAACATGAAATTTATGTACTTAAACACTTTTTGTTAAATAAACAACAAACATTTAAAAATTTTATTTATTTGTTAAAAAATCCAATGTTTTTTTAAAAAAAACTTACAACTTATGGTAAAGATATTTTTAATTACTAATTGACTAACAATATGTGGCCCCTTGGAACCAAAATAATACATTTTTTTACCTCTATGATAAACTTTAAAATGAGAAAAATGCAAAGATAGCATTGCACTATACATGGTAATGTGTCTTATTATTATCATTATCATTACACACTTTTCAATACACTGATATTTTGTGTAATTTTAATAATTACCCTTGAACAATGACATGACTACGACAGAATTTTTTTTTTCGATTACGCCACTCAGACCTTTTTGAACGAACAAATATTAAAAATATCAGTCTGTCGGTCAGTCCCCTAGTGAAGTTATTTTCTCGTTCCAAGTGTAGATCGCTATGAGAAGAACGAGCAAGAAACCCCATGGGGTTACGTACGCTTTTTCATTCAGATTCATAATACAATTCTTGGTTACATTGCTTCGTTGATTCAGTAAGGAGCTGTTTCTATTTTACACCAAACGAAAACCATATTTCTATGATGTGTAAATACACAATTCAATAAAATATTATAGTCAATGCTAACTTTAAACCCTTAACATAACTATAAAAAACAAAACACAAACAAAATATAAATGACATCTTAAAATAATTATATAAAACATCCAATATAACTTGATCCGTCTGAAGTGCACTATAAGCTTATCGTTATTCCTTTCTCTCCGTACCAATCATGTGTAATGCCATCTCGCTCACATGGATATGTGCTAACTTCAGAAAGGTCAATATATATTAGTTGTTCTATTTTGAGCGTTATGCACAACAACGTAGACATGCGCAAAACAGTACATCACGAAGTAATGTGATATGTCATTACATTTCGTGCCGAGTAATATTACATTTTACCATCACTTCAAACATCACGCGTGATGTTGCATCATAAGCGTAATATGAGGGCTATAATCACTGTCGTGATGTTGTAATGCAATGTTCAGATTTATCACATAACACAGAATATATAAATTCCCTTCATACTTAAAACTTAAACCATGCGTACTCAAATATTACGGACCGTTTTTCCAGGCTTAGGACTGGCAATATTCGTAGATTACAATTAATTACCTACTAACCAAAACGAAGTAGGTACGTAATTGAACAAATCATGAATATTGGCGTATTTAAAAATCAACTGTATGTACAATGATTGCATATTTACATATAATACAAATATAGATGTATGTATATAAGTTAATATTTACACATATATATATATAAGTTTGTACACATATTTTACACTTTATAAAATCACTAATTGCAGCTTATAAATATTAATTCCGACAGTTTTTTTGATCTGAGTCGGGTTCGCCTCTCATTTAATATTAGGCCAGCTTTCGAAAAGACCCGTTCGCACGGTACCGACGTTGCTGCGATGTTGAGGCGTTTCAGCATGTATCTGTACAGCCGGGGATACACGCCTTTGCGATCACTCCACCAGAGCAAAGGATTTTCTGACCTTTTTATCAAAGGTTCGTCTAAGTATTTATCCAATTCGACAATGCCAGCAGCGGTTGGGTTTTGTGGAACGAGAGCAGAAATTTCCTCGTCGAAATCGTCTCAAATAGAGCCAGTTTTCGGCGGCTGAGGAGCTGGCACTTGCGTTGCCTCCTCCTGAACGGGTACGTGGGTCAGGGTTCTGTCCGAGCCAATTCTTAATTTTAGAGCAGCCACTGCTTTCTCAAAATTTCTTAAATCACTGAAGCCACTTTTCTTGAATCTCGGATCCAATATGGTCGCCTCGCAAAGAAGTGGTTTATTTTCTACATCTCCGAATCTTTGCGCCATTTGTTGTTTGAGTGCGTTATGTAGGCGCTCCAACTTGGGATGACCATCCGGAGAATATTTGCTGAGGGACCGATTTATTATTTTACAGAGTACAATGTACTTTGACGCCGATACGTATTGTTCGCCACTAATTTCAGTAGTGACCTCATAAAAGGGTTTTAATACCTCAGTGGCTTTTTCGATAACGATCCAATCATCTTGCGGCAGGTTGATGTCTGGCCTCATAATTGCTAAAGTGGCAATTAGGGCTTCTTTCATCCTCAGCAACCGGTTTAGCGCATCATATGTAGAGTTCCAGCGCGTAGTCACGTCTTGCTTCAGTTTCAATGGGGAAATATGCATTTGCTCCTGAATTTCCACCAATTTCTTCTTCGCTGGATGGCTGCGATGAAAATATTCGATAACCGCTTTTACCCTTTGCATCGTATCACACAAGGCGTCCAAGCTACCTTGCACCACTAAATTTAAGGTATGTGCGTAGCAAGGCAAAGATCGCCAGCCTCCTAGCCGCACAGCACTTAAAATATTCGCCGCATTGTCACTGACTATTACATTGACGAATTGTGATATGTTCCACTCCTGGAACTTCGCCTCCAAAAAGCCTTTTAGGTTTGCACTGGTGTGTCTCTCCTCAAACTCTAAGCACCCAATCATAACTGTGCATACTTTGTGTGTTTCTGTGTCAATAAAATGTGCAGTGACCGCAATATAGCCATCGTGCACACAGGATGTCCATGCGTCTGTAGTTATGCAAACAGCTGCAGCTTTAGCGATTTGCTTTTTCACTGTTTCTAAGACTTTGTTATAAACCTTAGGGAGTAGGCTCTCGGAAAGAGTTTTCCGGGTCGGTAATATAGCCCGGGTTTAACATTTCCACGAACTTGCGAAACTCCACTTCATCAACCAAGCGAAGGGCGTGATATCCCTTCGCAATCATCCGAACTAATTGTTCATCGAGCTGTTGCAGTCGATGTCTTGGCAGGGATTTTTTTGACTGCACGTAATCAGCCATTGTAGGGGCAGCCGCGGTCGGTCTCTGGCCAAGTCGTACAAACAAAGGGTTATCGGCTCTGTGATCCTCACCTTGCACGCTGCCGCTACTCGAGGGTACTGCTGCCGGCTCCGCTGATGCTATGATGTCGCCGTCGAATGCTTCTACTGCCGCTGGTGTTATTGCCGGCTGTCGGCTACTGCTAATTTGTACAGTCGGGTGGACGGATTTTATGTGTCGGCTTAAACTTCCGATTGAGCTTGATGAAACCGCCAGTACCCGGGAACAGTAGCCACATTTTGCCTTCTTTCCAGGCACAACTTCCTCAAAGTGGTTCCAAAGGGGGCTGCTCTTTCTTTTGGACATTTTCACTAACAGTTAATTATTTACAACTTATTTTCTATAACTAACTTACTATTTCCAAATCTATACCTATACCTAAACCTATTTATTTACACATTCACTCACACGAAGCAAGTAAGTACCTATTGTTCAACCAGTTTGTATGTATTACTTGTCAAAATGTCAATCACGCTATCACTCTCACTTTAAATAAATTACGAAATATTTTAAAACGATAAGTGCAGTCGTAACATGACCTTGAACGCAAACGCAAAGCAAACAAACTAAAGAAATTTCAAAAAAGTGTCGGCGAAATTACGAGGTATAATACTTATACTTATATATTTGAATTACGATGAGTGACTTTATAAAAATGTAATCCTTATGTCTTAAAGCATACAGTTCTAAATCAAAGGGCAATTGGCAAACCGAATTGTTCGGTTGCGGACTCGGAGGCGGGGCTGCCTCGCTCGCCGCTCGGTCTCTCGAATATTGACGATTCCTTCCGAAGTTAGCCGAACGATTGCAGGCAGAACGAACACCGCATCACATCACCCATCGCACAAGTCATGTCTTTTTTTTTTTTTTTTAAGGGGGGAAAATCATCGAATGACTGCTCCCGCCTGGGTGAGGCGGAAGGGAGTGTCAGACTCTTACTGACTAAAAACCACCCCGTTCCTTCTCCTGCACGTCGAGCCGGAGCCCCGGTTACCCGTTAGGTTCTCCGCGACTCCGAATCGGCATCGGCCCTATTGGGCCCCATCTGTGGTGGTCTGATGGCTCTTTGAGGCGCGCGCGGAACGCGACGCGCCGTACGCTCGGGTCTGTTTCTGGTCGGACGGGGAGCCACCCATGCTCGCCGTCCGCAGGCCCGCGCTTACGGTGGCCGGAGATCGTCTCGCGATCCCCGACGCCCGGTGTGTCCTTCGCGATGGCTGGGTTGCGAGGAGGCAGCGCTTCGCTGCCTCACGCGTCCCGCCTCCTCCTTAGCTAGCATGACTGCTTCGCAAAAGGAGGAGACGGCATCCCAATCCCCCTCGCTCCGCATCATGGCCTGCACTAGGCCCGGACGCGAGAGGTCGCCATCGCCGATCACTTCCCTGAGGGCACGGCGGTGCTCAGCCCACGCAGGGCATTCTCCCACTGTGTGTTCCACCGTGTCCTCAGGGCGGTCCTCGCAGTGATGACACCCGGGCGTTTCCTCCCGCCCCATCAGACACAGGTACCTCCCGAAACTTCCATGTCCGGTGAGGATCTGCGTCAGGCGGTAGGTGAGGACGCCGTAGCGTCTCTCAAGCCACTCCTCAAAGAGGGGACTTACCGCTGCAATGGCAGCGAGCCCAACAAGTCATGTCTAGAGCTGCGCGACCGAGTAATGCTTTAGTGTGATGTGTGATGCTTAATTTAGTCGAGTAATGTGTGATATTACTCTACGCGGTCGGGTTATATTACGCGTAATGCATTACTCGCATTACTTACACATGTCTACAACAACGATGTTAGTTATCAAATTGGATATGGTATCTTATAAAATACATAGACAGGAGTGCATAAAAAGAGGTTAATTATGTTATGTACAATTCGAGAATCGAGATAAAAGTTTAAATGGAACGTTACCTTGGCGTAAATAATAACAATATTTCATTAAGCAAATTAACAGTATAGATTTATGACTGCATGGTTGGCACAGTGGCTAGGTAACTGGCTGCTGAGCAACTTGCAGCGGGTGCAATTCCCGCACGGAATGATCATTTGTGTGATCCACAAATTATTGTTTAAGATTTTCGAAGCAAGGTACTTTTGTAAAAAAGAAAATGATAATTATGTCCATCATTAAAAAAAAACCTGTCGCTTATCCTAAACATATACATAGATATGTTATTATTAAAACAATTATAGCCATAGGTGCCTAAATACCTTAATATTTCTTAAATATTAATTTGTTTTAGCTATTGATTTTATTCATAATAAATTGTTTTAAAAAAATACACAGGATGAAATCAGGAGTAAAATTCATTGATAATTGACTTAAAATGTACCTTCCTAACAAAATTGTTTTCGAACAGATTTTTTTATTTTTTTAAAGAGGGGACTTACCGCTGCAATGGCAGCGAGCCCAGCCCTCGGTTGCGACAGTCGTTGCTGCCATTCCGCCAAATTTTTTGGATAGAAGTATCTTTTCAATATTAAAATCTAAAAACTTAGATATTTTAAAAAAAAGTTTTTGGACTTAGATTATTTTTAAAAATACATGCTCATTAGCAGAATCACCAAAACACTTCATTAAAATAATAACGGCTATTTTTTAACAATTAAACAACATAAAATCTTGACAATATTTTTCAACAAACACTAACAGATATAATAAAAACAAAACTCAAACTTTAGCTTGACTTAGTCTATGGCTTAAACAAAAGCCTCTAAGAATTTGTTAATTCTAAATTACATTTCGACAGTCCCCTAATGATCTTGAATATATAATTCTTCTGTGAGTGTGTATGTCACTGAACTTCTCTCAAACGACTGGACCGATTTTGATGAAATTTTTTGTGTGTGTTCAAGGGGATCTGGGAATGGTTTACATTCACAAATCAGCCCGGTAGATGGCGCTGCAGTCGGAGTCCAGGTTATTTATCCTAAACGGCTGAACTAATTTGAATCAATTATTGTTTATACATTCAAGTGGATATGCAGGACAACGTCTGTCGGGTCCGCTAGTTTTTTTATAAAATTAATACCATATCAGCATACTTTAGACTCCATAAGAAAAATTAGCCATTTGGCTCTGAAAGCTTACAAGTTTGTTACCCTCTGATTGTTTGGTTCAGTGGAGCTGGCCAATCAAAGCGTCGAACGCGTTTAACTCATACTAGACCCTCTTTATATACTTGTTAGTAAGATTAGACCACATTTATTAACATACACTTACATCTTAAGATATGAAAATAGTATATTATATTAGGTACTAATTCGACATAGAAAACTCACATACTACAGGTAGAACAGCTTGGCAAAAAAGAGACGCGGTGACAGCTGGAATAGGGTAGTTTCCAGGGTAAGAAAATTAAAAATCTTATTAGTCCGTCAGTTAGATAATGAAAAAGTATTAGACACGTATGTTCTATATTTTTTCGTATAAAGTTACAATACTTAAATAAAATGGCGTTAAGTTTAGTTACGTCACAACGTGCTACAATTTGTAGCACGCTGTGACGTCATACGACATTTCAATATATCGTCGAAAGCATTTAATTCTGTGAAAAAAGAAAAACACGTGTCTAATGTCTTAAAATAATCTACCAGACGGACATTAAATTTAGGAAACTACCCTATTAATATTGACTTGGACTGAATTACCCACTTCGGACCATAGCCCATGAATAAACAATTGTCCGAAAATAGTACCTTCTCTTTTTAAACTCGCTAAAAATAACAAATGTCAAAACCGATTGCGACGTAGTGTACCAGGTTGCCACAGCGATACTAGCCAGCTCGATTATTATTATTCCCAACTATTTTTTGCCAAGCTGTACATAGACACAAAATATACACTTATTATACGAAATGTTTGACACGTAATACACATATAACTTCGATATAACATTCAGTTTTTATCCACACATAAATGTTAAACTACTCGCCTTTTTAAATATTCGATATTTTACTTATTTACACGTAATAATGACGCAATAATGTGATTATCCTTATTCAATTATTTATTATTAAAAACTGGAGATAGAGTACTAAAATTAAAAGGCCTTCTGGCTTCCAAACTAAGACTGCGTTTCCACCAGAGATGTACACACGGCTACACATCGAGCTTTACATAACCAGTATAAACTGAACGTTAAATGTGCGGAAAGATGATGCGACGCGACACCAGGATAAACTGGTTTTGTATAGATTGATGTGTGGCCGGGTGCACAAGGATGCGTAGCGAAGGATGTGTATGTAAAAAGAACCCATAGAATCGCTTCATTACTTCCCCTCGGTGCACATCTCTGGTGGAAACGCAGCCTAAGTTTATAGTATAACTTCGGTGTAATTTAAAAACCACATTCAATAAAAATGTATTTCGTTTGAAATCTATAAATATTTCATGCATATTTGTTATTAAAAACTAAATGTAATGTAAATAAAATTGTCCATATTTTAAAAAAAAAAACGAAATTTTTTCAGAGGCGAAATGCTGTCCATTTTGTGCTCAGCTGTCTCTACAGAGTGTTTCACTACCGAAGAGTATTGGCACTATTTTATATCTTGTTGGTTAGACCATTTTAGCAACTTGGAAACATTTTCTTTATAGCACCTGCCTGTGACAGATTTTTTAGCCAAATAACACCGAATGGGCCATGTTGATAATCAACAAAAACCCAGTAAGTATTATTCTTTTTACTGTACCCCTGAATAACGGGGAAGAGATTAATTAAATAAACAAAGAATTTATTTAGGACCAGTTCTACAGGGCCTTATAGTTTTATTGATTTAGAGTACCCTGGCGTAACAACAATTTAGTAAAACTTTTAAATGAAAATAATAAAATCTAAACAAAACCTGAAAACAATCGTAAACCTATAATAAATTTAAAAAAAAACTATGATTTTAACCTCTTTGGTAATTTCCCTTTACAATTTGTTTCTGGTAACATTATTTTTTTATTACCTGTGTGTAGGCAAATATATTCTTGGGGTTTGTATCCATCTGTAAAAAAAAACAAATAATTTTGTATGAGAAAAGAAATATCCCTCTTTTACCTATGTCTATGTAGGAAAAACCAACAATTAATCTTTATTTACAAAAATCTCCTTAAAACAGAATGTTTTTATGATTTTTCTAAAATTACCATTTTTTAATTTCCAAAGGTGCAAACAAATAAAATTTTCATATAATAAAAAATTATATTTAATAACGGAAGTGAAACAAAAAAAATACATAGACTAAATAAATATTATCCACACTGTGCTCCAAAACTCTTTGGTCAGAAAGCCGCAAGCCTGAAGTGGCACTGGGCTGATCACGAGTGCCGCGTGTCAGACAAGCAGTGAGCAAAAATCACTACTGAGTGGAGCCCACTCATCGCCAATAGACGTTGCGGCATGCCCAGAAGGAGATGGCGGGATGAACTTGACGTCTATCAAAAGGATTGGCCACAGAAAGCTCTACGGAGAGACGAGTGGCAGGAGGGTAGGGAGGCCTGCAGTGAGACAACCATGGCTAATAACATAAAAAAAATTAGATACTCACTTATTCTCCTTAAATGTGGAGTACCCATAACTTTGCTCTGGTCCTCATGCCATTTCACATGTTTGACAAGACAGAACAGGTACTTGAACATTTGCGAGCATTTGGCACAAGCGTACATCATCTCCCCTTTAGTTGACGGTTTAGCTTCCGTTTTGGTCGGAAATACTTCACAGTCTATGGAACTCTTTATGACACCTCCGGGTAGTATTTCCAGTGTTGGCCAACTGTCTGTTTGGTCTGATTTGGATATTGTTCTTATTCTCTGTGGATCATAAAACAAGATGTTGTTTAATTTTGTTAGAATATACACAGTAGTATTTAACTTTTTATAACATAAGTTGTTAAAGTATCAAGTATTCTCAAAGTCTATTAAACTGTCAAACACCAAGCGGTCACCGGTGACCGCAACCTATTGTTCTTTAATTGTGTCTATAAATACGGTACTCGACGAGTTAATAATTGGTAACGAAAAAAAAACAAATAATTAAGAATTTGTGATATTATTTAAAAAAAATTAATATTAATTATCTCAACTATCTTAGATTGTTTCTAACAGCAATCAAATACAAAAACAATAAAATTCTATTAAATTAAATAGACTATCCCTTTCTCAGATCAACATTTATATTTTACGTCGCGGAAATGCACATACGATAATGATGCCGACATTTTATCTCAGAACTAGTTCAAGGCCAGGTCACAAAACCAACTTACCAAAGGATCCTTCATTTTAGGGTGATCCAAGAGCTCAGGAACTATAACTTCTTCGCTATCACTGAATCCATCTTCGTCCTCCTCATCACACAACTCCTCAGAGTGCACCGAAACCATACTCCCGATATTTGAGTCACTATCTTCATCGATGTAATCGTTGTAATCCAAAACATCATCGCGACCAACTTCGAAAATATCCTCCTCAGTCGCAGGAGGAATGTGTATCTCTATTGTCCTGTCTATCCTATCCCTCGAAGGCTGCACGTCCTCCATTCTAACGAGCGCCACATTCTCCAAATCCTCATTTTCAAGAGCTGAAGACATTTTTGTGATTTGCGTCTCAAAACATTCAAGTTTTCACATTATTTCCCCTATACTAATAAACGAGAATCCAATATTTGGTTGGTGGGCTAGATATATTAGATTTACAGGCGTCTTTTGATAGACTTCCTGTTTGCCGTTTATTTATTTTTGTAATTATCAAAACAAATCAAGAAATAGAACGAAGTGACAGCCACTGTGATGTTTGTCTTTGACGTTTGCTGTCTGTCATTGTTATGTCAAAGGAAAACAGATTATGTAATAATTGTCTATGAATCTATGAGTATATTCTGACTGTCAAAATACAACTTAATTCTTATTCATCCTTCTTTCAAATGTGATCAATTTTAATTTTACACTTTTAACTAGTCAACCAATTCTCTAGGAGACTTTAATGGAGTAATAGGATTTCTGTTAATTTACATCTAATTAAATATAACTACATAAATATTTACAACTTAAAATTAACTACAACTAAACTATTAAATAAAAAGAAAGTAAAAGAAAACAACAAAAATTATACCCTTAATTTAGGCGTCAAAGTATTCGTCCGCATCACTATCACAGGGGAAAGTTCCCAGAAGACTGGCAGCATTGCCACGTTGAATGGCAATGCTTATTTTCTGTCCGAAGAAAAAGCCAGCCCTCTGGTCACGTGTAGAGTCGATAAGCCTACGGGCGATGTCTTTAAACACAGAGTGTGCACTGGGACCCCATGGCCCAAGTGTTTCGACCCCAAACGGCTCAAAACAGTAGTTACCCACCAGATTTGAATATTTACGCCGTTTGAGGGCCTCTGCCGCGGAAGCAGCTGCACCAACGCATGCAGCGGTGCTTAAAAGATGTGATGGCGCAAGGGTGTCTACACACGTCGCGTCCCACACCAAAGGCCTACCCATCTTCCAAGGCAGCAACGACATACCATCTGGTCTTTTGCCGTCATCACGTACCAAACCATTAGGTTCTAATACGGCTGGTACACCGGCTGAGGCAAGAGCACGACGGATGATGTCGTTGATGCTGGCATGGCGAGCTATGCGGCCTGCACTTCTGCAACAAGAAAGACCATGGTGTCCCAAGCCATCGACTCTTTCTCCACAGTGACAATAATGCGGAGAAACACAAGGAGCACCTAAACGTACGCATACAGCTAGGCGGAACGTTATGTCATCCAACATAGTACCTATGAAGGGTGACGGGAGTGCCTGAAGCCACAATCCTGATTCCCATTCTCCCACAGCCAATAAGCGAGCTCGCTCTGCAGTATTAGGAGACGAGTTGATTAAAGACTCACGAATAACACTGCACAGCGGCACGTCCCACTGTCTCTGAGAAGATGGGTGAACAGGTAAATCCGTAAGTGGGCAAGCCATTTTCCACGCTTCCACTGCATCAGTCAAACACGGCACCTCAAAACTGGTCAGTGACGAAGAAAGAATTTTCCTGACCAATTCAGAGGTACTGTGGACCGAAGACAGAAAAGCTGGTAAACTAATACTTGAAATTTTGCGGACGCCGAGCCCTCCCATGCGAATAGGAAGAGTAGCTTGTTGCCAAGCTCGGTCATCCAAAGCCACATTAAGTATGGATGACAATGTGTGTCTGATAATTTTGTCTACGTTTTCTAAAATGTGTGAATGTTTCCATAGATGTGAAGCGCGGAGAATATAAGTAAATTTTGGTCCAAAACAACAGTACCGAATTAGGGTGAAAGCCGAATGTGTGTTGATTTTGTGTAATCTATCCGAAATGTGATTGAAAGTATCTTGTCCTCGATGAATTTAGGAAAACATTCATCGAATATTGGTGAACCTAGGAGGTGAAGTGAGTACTTATCAATAATTTTGATATTTGGAGCTATTTGATTAAATTTTGCTAGAGTCGTTAGTCTGTCTGTAGAGTCAGGAATGTATAGTTCACATTTTGATAAATTTAGGTCAAGGCCAATAGAACTTAGTTTTTCTTTCAATATAGTCAAATCTTTTAAAACAATGTCAACGTCACCTCCTAGAGTTCCGTCGTCTAAATACCATACATTAAATTTGGAATTTAGTTCACGAATAATAGGATTTATAGCTAAACTAAAAATGGCAGGCCCAAGGGGGTCTCCTTGTTGACAACCAACAGCCGATTCTATTAAATTGTCCTTATACAGTAATTTTGAAGGGTTTCTATAACATTGCCAAATAAAACTGTAAATTTTGGGGATTTCTTTTAGAATTTCAGTCGGCAAGGCGTCCCTGCTTACGGAGTTAAAGGCGTTTTTAATGTCAACCTTTAAGACGACCTCACCTTGGTTACTATTTAAAAATGTGGATAGGGCATGTACCGCAGCCTCGCAGCCCCCTTTGCAACCAAAGCCTAGTTGTGAGGGCTGGAATTTGCTGGCCAAAGACTCATTGTAATAGGCGCAGCAAATTTTGGCTGCGATACGCCTGTATGTACAACCTACAGCAATGGGACGAATACCGCCATCCTTCTTACGCAGGGCACATAAGTTAGCCCCGTATAAGACATCGATGACGGATTCGTTCACATTGCCGGAGAGCATTAGATTGATTAAGGCCGTCAACTCCTTCAAAAGGGACTCACCAGCCTCCCCGGCGCTCGAACACACGAGATCTTTCAGATGTTGTGGTGTCAAGCCGTCGAGGCCGCCAGCTGAACCATTTCGAAAGGAGTCAACGGCCTCGCGAACCTGTTGGGCAGTAATCGAAAGTGAATGGAGTTGAGGGTTTGGTGGGTCAGGAAAGATGAGGTCATCTGCCGGGGAAGGATGTTTACTCTGCAGGGTTGTAACTACCTCTGCAGAGTACGTAGCGACCACATCACTACTAAATAGAACCCTAGCAGCACCACGGATATCGCCATCCGCTATTTTGGACTCTACATGATGCAGCAAACCTTTGTGAGTAAAGTGTACTGATAATTTAGGGTCGAAAGTTTGGGTTTGAGAAAAGCAATTATCTTTAATTTGGGTTGTTAAAGTTTTTTTGTTGGCCAAATCTTTCTGCACATGTAGAATCCTAAATGGAAAGGTTAATAATTTAATCCTTCTTTCTATATGGGGTCCGTCCGTTATACCGATATGGGGTCTTTGAAGCCTCTTTCAGCAGGTACTGGACAAGCACGGACTCGTGTAAATAGAATTCCGCGCTTTTTCAAATTTCCGATTTAACAAAAGTCTCTACATTTGGGTAAATCTTGAAAGATAGGATTTTAGGGCGCCAAATGAGCACTAGGTGGTCCTGCTGATATAAGGTACTTTGCTGTCTGTTACTTATAAATCTTACGATAACAAAACTTCCATATGGATTTATAAATCACTTTTATTCGAGCAAACGAAACTCAAGGACAACAAAAACATTTTTACAAAATTTCGCTAAGTATTAAAATAGCTGTTTTATTTCACAGTCGAATTTATTGCAACATTTAATTCAGACTTAATAACATGGACAATCTTCAAAATCTAACAACAAACAATTACAAACTTCTGTAAAAAAAACAAGAAGCCTTATACCTTGAAAAAAAGGTTCACAACAAGTTACTTCTCCTACACCTCAGTTCTAGCATCATCAGCATAATTCCAATCATGGACAGGAAAATACATTTGCATCAAAGTCTCATAGATTTCTACATCAACAGGCATGAAGGTGCAAAAAATTACTCGTTCCATTCGATCATTTTGTTCCAAAAATTGGCGCGTAGTCCGGAGTGCGATGTGGGCTGCTAGACGATTGGGAAAACCATAGATACCGGTAGAAATACAGGGAAAAGCGATAGTTGTTATTTTATGTGACTTGTGAAACGCTAAGGAGTTTTCATAACACTTCTTTAGCATCGCCGGTGAAGCATCTTGAGGTCCTACTGTGTGGATTACATCTGAAATGAAATTAAGATTTGTAATGATTGTAAACAAAAATAATATCTGGAATTGGGGTTATCGTTTTTTTTTACAGCGTTAAATATTGTGCGGATGGTGAGCAAGGGTAAGTAGTTCGCCGCCCGACCAAAACCAGACCCGGGCGTACGGCGCGTCGCGTTCCGCGCGCGCCTCAAAGAGCTATCAGACCAACGCAGACGGGGCCCAGTTTCTGCGAAGCAGTCATGCTAGCTAAGGAGGAGGCGGAGCGCCTGAGGGAACGAACCTCCTCACTACCCGGCCGTCGCGAGAGACACTCCGGGCGTCGGGGATCGCGAGACGATCTCCGGCCACCGTAAGCACGGGCCTGCGGACGGCGAGCATGGGTGACTCGCTGCCCGACCAGAACCAGGCCCGAGCGTACGGCGCGTCGCGTACCGCGGGCGCCTCAAGGAGCTATCAGACCACTACAGATGGGGCCTAACAGGGCTGATGCCGATACGGAGCCGCGGAAGACTTAACGGGTTGCCGGGGCTCCGGCTCGAAGCGCAGGAGTAGGAACGGGGTGGTTTTTAGTCAGTAAGAGTGTGACACTCCCTCCCGCCTCACCCGGGCGGGAGAAGTCATTGGATGATTTCCCCCCCTCAAGAAAAGAAAGCTGCAAAATATTGAATGTCCCATCCCGTGGCGTAACACAAGCAAATTCTCTATTGGACCAAGAACGAGCAAGCACACTAGCACCATTTGGTAAGCAAAAATACAATAGCTCCCATTCCCGACGACGTACGACAAAATTCGGCAGGTCGACAAAATTTCTACATTAGACTTTCAATCTTATTCGCACTAAGATAAAATTGAAAATATAAGAATGACATTCTTGTCATGCGGACGATTTTTGTCATAGTCATCATCGGAAGGTTAACCCTTAGGGCTCGTATACAAAACTGCGATGAGATGCGATGCGAATTCGCAACGCGAAAAATTAAGATGCGAATTACTGCGATGCGATTTCGTGCGACAAAGCATCTCCCAGGGTGACATTTCTTCGACGACCGTTGCAACCGTATTAAACGTTTAAATTGAAAACTAGGTCGTGACATGAATCGTAAAAAGAAGTGTGCACTTCTGTTAATCCTTAGGAGATACAGGAAAAATAAGATATTGGGAAGATAAGATTTTGATGCGCGATGCTAATCTATTCGCATGCGAGAGGGAGAGGGAGGGAGATGCGTAGAGGGAGCTCGTACATTCGCAGTTTTGTGTACAAGCCCTTAGATCACGAAACGCAAGGTCGCGTTTAATAACAAATCATTCTTGAATCGTCTGCAAGATGGATTGCCTGGTGTGAATTTGGCTAATCAAACCACATTTATCTACAAAGCGAGAAAAAGGCTATCATAATATGACACTGTTTATTTTTGATAGCCTTCTAAAGTACAGTTTGGAAGCCAAAAAAGTCGAATTTCTTTACAAGCTTTACTTTAATGTGATCTAAACTTAATTCTTTTGCCATTAAAGTTGTAATTAGGAAGATTTGGAGTAGCTTGATGTCTACACATAATTTAACTTACATTGACTTGGTAGGTTATATCCTCCTGTGATCTTCGCCTCTCCTGTTGGGCATCCACCAAGGGTATCACATTCTTCCTACAAAATAAAAAACCAGATAAACAAATATAAATTAGTAAAAAGTTGGATTCCATTGACCATCCTACTATAAAAACCACAAGTTATTTTAAGAGATAACAGATAACCTACATTATAATAAAAGCGTGAATTCATAACTGTGCTAAATAAACAATAAATGTAGTCACAGGTCAACGGTGTCGCACCACACACTTCCCATCTGTTAGAAGTGGCGGGCGAACGTTCCCTTGAGCGGTGCACTACTTACTATAAACAAAGTTGTTTTATTACAAATTTCCATATTCAAATCAGTGAACATCACAATAACAAACATCGGAAAATACATATTAAACAATAACAAAACACTATTTTAAAACAATTAACATAATATTACATTATGGAAAAACCAATTGCTTACATATCAGCAAGTTTGATTTTTATTTTTTAAGCAATAAGAACTATTTTTTATGTTTACTTGACAGTGCTAATATGCTGTCAGCGCTTTAGGAAAATCTTTTTTTTTAACTGTCAATAAGGTTTTTTATTTCGTTATTAACTAGAGATGTATGGCTGTATGTATGTTTGTTAGTCTTTTACCCATAAACTACTGGGCATGCCTCAACTAGCAGTATAAAGATGATGTAGATAATACAACAATAATGAATACTTGAGTACCATATATGGTAATAGAAATAGGCAGGCATGCTCCATTGTCGGTCACATCATCGCTTACCACCAGGCGAGATGGTGACCAAATGTCAACTGATCAAATATAAAAACAAAAAAAACAACCTGTAGATGAGGACCAGCTGCTCGGTGTATGGCTCCATCCACACCTCCACCAGCCTTCAGCATTGAGTTAGCTGCATTCACAATTGCACCTAACTAGGAAAATTAATATACATATTATTTTAATTATTTTGATAATATTAGCAAAGTCCCATTTAAAAAAAAATAATTTTCTATAATTAACTGGTTTAATATAAGTATCTTTAGAACACATCAACAGAAAAAAAGTGATATTTTCAAGTCTAGGTGCTGTGTTATAGTTTATCATACACCAACTAATTTTATTTGGCACTTGCTATGATAAATGGGCTATAATACACAAAAATCATTTTTCAAATTGGACCTGTACTTCCTAAGATCATCGCGTTCCAACAAACAAATGAACTCTTCAGTTTTTTATATAAGTAAATAAAATAATAAAGATTCTCATAATTAATGAGATAAATTATGGAAATTATTCAATACCTCCAAACGTGTAATATCGCCTTTATACAAAGAAACCTTCTCGGCCAAGCTCCTGTTCTGATGGTTATCAATTTTAAACTTATTAAATTCCGTTACATCGTCTAAGGTATGCTTTCTTTTCTCTACGGTACTATTTCTTATAACATAATTGTTCCAAGGGTCAACCATGTCCACAGTAACGACCGACATTTTATCGTACTTGGCTTTCTTTTCTTCTGGCGATAAGTTAAGGGTCTTTTGTTTTTCAACCTTCCACCTCGGCTCACTGAGTTTTACTTGGGAGCAATAGTGGTGCGTGTTGTACACTCCAGTGTTTTGACAAATGAACAGAATTTTGTCAATAACTTTTCGCAAAACCGGTGCTCGCATTTTTAGGATCTGTCAAGTTTGACATTCTTTTGATCTTCCAATGTCAGTGTCAATATAGAGATGCTTTTAGTCGAGTAATATATTTTAAATCAATGAATGTATTAAAATTATACTACTACTATTATGTTGATGAAGTGGTTTTCCATAAAAATGATCTCAAATTATATTCTATGGATCTATATCTATATCTAATACTCAAATATTTGATCAATCAACAATTTAGTAGATTTAGTTTTAAAGTATTGCCAGTTAAAAGGGTTGTCAAACAAATTATTACGTCATCTTTGACCACGCAATTTGGTCCAACAATTCAAAAAGGTGTCACGCATGGCTGAGTTACCTTTTTCTTATTTCATGCCTGACCTAAACTTTATTACAAAACTTTAAACTCAGTGATGAGTTTGTAACAGAGCAGGTTATCACCTTTGTTAATCGAGGGAGTAGGCACCTACGTCATACCGTTTTTACCATAAGGGCACTCAAAACCCGTGCCCAGGGCCTCCATCTTCAGAGAACCCCGAAGGACCGACAAATTCTACGACAAAACACATCCGCTACACGTGGCGGGTAAACTGGCTGCCCCGAAACGTATAGCGGGTCCGATTCCCGCACGGTGCAACATCTTTGAGAGATCCACAAATTATTCTTTCAGGAATAAATGCTCCCACGTTACAGGTGAAAATCCCAGCGTGAGGCAACGTTAAAAAAAAACATGCCAAAAAGGCCTCGAATTATTATGTGCCCAAGGGCCCCAGCGTAGTCCAAGACAACCCTGTACCTACGCCTATAATAAGGTTTAGTGGTATACTTTTTATAAAATACAAAACCTAGTTCCACCACATGAGAGATTCCATATTAATATTTTGCTGAGAAATTTGATAAATAACTTATTTTCTAACAATAATATTATGCAACTGAGATATCGTAGCCATTACTTTGAGGAACTATTCTCCTATTCGATACAAAATTTGTATATTCTGTAAAAAAAGGTCTGAATGTAAGACGAATGATGAATTCCGCTATCTTGTACATTAAGCAGATATAAAAAATCTATACTTTATCATAATGTTAAATGTACGGAACTCACTTAATTTTGTTATTCGAACTTGACTGGCTTTTTCTAACTTTTGACTTTTGTAAGTACCCTCAAACGATAGTGGCTTGCTGGCAACACTGCATGAATCTGTCAGAGTAAGAACGGAACAACGGGATATCTCCACGTAACGCGTGTGTGCGTTTCTCTAGTTTTCTCGCTTTATTCAATTAAATAATATTATTACGGCGGCGATGATTGTGTAGAAAAATCCCCACATAATAGGAGTACACATTTTAGACAATATATATAAAGATCCGGCCAGGTAAAACGTATATTATTGATGTGCAAACCGTGTTACTATTCGTTTGCTTTGACACCGGTCTTTGTTAGTGATATCGCGTTTTTTGTATTTAAATTAGTATTTGTATTACAGTATGAAGAGTTGGGGTCTTCTTCTGGTCGCTGCTTTAGCGTTAAGTGGCAGTTATGGAGTGGATAGGAATAATTTTAAGACTTGCGACCAGTCTGGTTTTTGCAAGCGGTTACGGGGTTTTAAGCCGGAAAAGTCGGAGTATACTCTTAATTTAGACACTGTATTAGTACACGGAAATGTATTATCGGCCGAAGTTGACACCGTGGACACCTCGACCCAGGAAAGGAAGGTTTTGGTATGTGGTATCAAATTATTTTAATTTCTATGTATGATATATTAGCAATGGTGATTGGGCGGATGCCAGGCTATTTTTGTAATAAACTGTATGTAGTAAACTGCAGTACAGTACCTGGAAATGAATTAATTTGTTTACTAATTCTAATTTCACAGATGTAGGTACCTTCTACTTTATCTTATTGGACCTATGCTAATAAGAACATTTTAACGACCTTAAAGAAAACATTAATTTTCTCGCTAAGTAATTGGCTTGTAAAATTAAAAAAAAAACATAAAAATAAAGCAATTTACGACTGCAGTAATAAATACACAAAGCATGAAAAAAAACATGTAACAAAACCCGTTTTGTTTGGTTATGTTTAATTTGTGGAAACATTGTAATTTAAATTGCAAATCAGTATTTTGAAATGCAATACATGTGCAGGAGCTAAAACCTCTTTTTTCATACATAGTCTGTGGTGAAAATGACATAATGCTTATGTTACCTTTGCCTAAAAACCTCAAGTAATTTAAAAAAAAAACTATTATTTGTTGTTAACAGTGGCACTATGCTATGAGACTATCAGCTCTGGTGGATGGCACATTCAGGGTGGAAATAGATGAGGTGGATCCTCTGTATCCAAGGTACAGGACCCAGCTTGCACTCAACGGAGATCCCAAGGCTGATGGGTGAGTTTTCAAATTATGTTTGAGAATTGGTAATTTTTGTTATAATGAACCTTTTTATAACAAAATTGTAGTTTAATATTGTGTGTGTATTAGATTTCTCATAAGCAAAAATATGAATAGTGCGATGGTACGGTTTTTGCGGTGTGTCGACATGTCGTGGGTTCGATTCTCACATGGAGCAACTCCCTGTGTTATTCACAAATTGTTGTTCCGGGTCTGGGTGTCATGTGTATGTGGGCTTGTATATTTGTAAACACACCCAAGACACAGGAGAAAATCCTAGTGTTGTTGGGCAATATTGTTAACTAAAAAAAAATTGTCAATGTTTCTTAATGGATAATAAAATCCAATAAGATTTACATCTTGTTAAATAAATAGGTAATTAGATAATTATTTATCATTCAGGAAACTTAAAGTAAGATAATTATGTCTTTAGAAGTAGTAGTATTACAATAATAATCGTTTTGATTAGGAAAATAATTAACTATTGACTAACATAATGTTTGTTTCAGCCTAAAACTGCTTTCAAACGAAAACGGAAAGCTGACCCTTGCAAACAGCCAGGGACATAAAGTGGTGATTACAGCGGCACCACTGAAGATAGAGTTCCTGAACCAGGCCGGAGACGTGGCAGTGGTGCTGAACGACAATGCTCAGCTGGTTGTGGAACCGCTCCGAGTTAAAAAGGAAAGGATTGATGATGAGGATGGGAATGCTGTGGAAGTTGTGAGTCTGCTTCTGTGTTTGTACTGCTTTTGTGACTGGATACTCAAATGTAGGCAGTTGTAGTAGTCAGTTTTTACCACATTCATAGTTGGACATAGTTTTAAGTGTGGAAGAGCCATGCTTCGGCACGAATGGGCCGCCTCGACCGGAGTGATACTGCTTGCGTTGTGTTTCGTCGTGTGAGTGAAGTTACCGGATGCCCAATTACCCCTCTCCCTAGTCCTCGTCTCCCGAATCCTCCACATCCTCAAATTCCCAATTCCCAAAAGGCCGGTAACGCCCTTGGTGTTTCGAGTGTCCATGGGCGGCGCCGATTGCTTACCTACAGGTGATCCGTCTGCTCGTTTACCGGCTTATGATACAAAAAAAAACTCTTACTAAGTTCAAAATAGTAGTAAATTGGAGCTTTTTGTCACTTAACACATTAAATGCCATGAGGGTCACCGGTGACCGACGGTAGCAGAGGATTTGCCTTCAACCGTTTTGTATTGGCAGTCAAAGACTTAAATGTATTTGGTATTGTATTTATGAAGATGGTCGGCAATCTTATTGTTGTTGCAAAGAGAAAGTTTTACTTTTCCACACCACATGGCTATGAAAAATACTGACAGTCTTCAAAACAAATTACGACTTAGTGTTGACCTATTTAAACTGTCAAATACCGCGAGGACACCGGTGACCGCAACCTATTGTTCTTTAATTATGTCTATAATGACGGTACTCAATGAGTTAAGAGGAAAATCCCATTTGAGTATCTAGTTATTGTCATGTCATAAATTTATTTTCATAATTTTTGGTAACGATCTATGTGCATATTTCCTTAAACTTTAATGCATTTCCTTAAACACATAGAGGTTTGTTAAGTGTATTAAACATAAACTCTTATAATTTTTGCGATAGCCAGATGGCGCCACTTAGTTTAGTTATCAGAATTAATTTTAGAATTTCAGCTATTTTGAGTCAATATGTGTATTGAAATTTTTCGTTAGTCTATTATTAATGAAGGGTCTTAATATCACTAGCGCCTCTAGCGGTAAGTTTATGCACTAAAAATTTCATTGGGATCAAAAGTTATTGTTTTGGATATTGTTTATGTTCAATGTTGTCTGTCTGTACAGGCTTGTTTGTTACCATAATCGATGTAGCATTTGTTCTTGAAATATTCCTATTGGTTGTGGGGTTTGGGAGTCTTTATTGGGTACATGCCTTAAAAAAATAAAATTTATATTTTGACTGTTCAGTTTAATAAAATATAAAAAAATAATCACTTTCATTAACTAATTTTAGTATGTTATAAAATTTTTTAGGAAAAAAGTATGCTGTTTGACGCTAAAAAAACTTGACGTCACAATACAAAATCTCGTACAAAATTCATATATGAAAACTGTCATATTTGACAGTTCGAAAAAAGTATTGAATTTGACTAGTTGGCAAGTACCCAATAGGTAAAAGTTTTCATTGTGTCTATTTTCCAACCATGTTGGGATAAGTATGAGATTAAAAGATTCTATGATATAGGGACGATACGAAATAGAAAGCGTTGAGGGCTTAGTCCGGCGCCCTGATTGGTTGGTTCATTATGGAGCAGGCCAATCAACACCGAACGCGGTTACGTTTACAAACTCGTATTAACTCCTCTCTGTTCAGATTTTCTTATGGTTAACTTGATAATATAGGTCAAACCATTTATTTCAATTAGACCCAAAAACCACTTCTTAACGGAAACAAAACAATTTAAAAGTGAAGCTACTGGCTCATTCCTATATATAAATTCCTATGGAGAAGAACGAGCTCCATAGGTTACTCTTTTTCAATCAGGTTCACAATACAATTCTCTAATTACATAGTTTTGTTAGTTGTTTACATAATTGTTAAGTATTTGTTTATAACTGTTGAAAGGCATATAATAGAAAAAAAAAAGTATTATTTTAGTAGCTTCATTGTGTACCTAACTACTATTGGGTAACGTAAACAAACATGACTTAATTTGTTATGCCACAGTTTTAAAATGACGTCGGTACTGCGTTATTGTATACATTACTTGTCCTTACAATAACTATAACGTTCAATATGTATTATGTACTGCTTCTGAGTAACTATCTAAGATAGATTAATCCCCGAGAGCGCCCGAAGCAAGCCCTTCATTGGCGCCCCTAACTTTTTTAGTGCCGCTGCCACTCTTATGTGCTGTGGGTCGCGCGCGGCGCCCCTCTGTACCCTGGCGCCTTAGGCACTTGCCTTAGGAATAATACGGCTCTGGTAACAATACAACTATCCCTGCCAGGGCCGTCTTAGACAACGTGAGCATAATAATTCGAGTCCTTTTGTATAGTTTTTTTTTTAATGTACCCCCACTATTCTTTGCCAGTCTTTGTTTCCTGAAGGGTATAACCTGGGTGTCTTCAAGGTCCTAGTGAATAGGTTGGTTATGCGTCGACGTGCTCCATCGTTGGCCGCATCATCGCTTACTACCAGGCGAGATAGTACTCAAACGTCGCTCCATCAAATATTTAAAAAAAATGTATTTTTTTTTTGTATCGAGGGTGCATTTACAAACATACAAGTTCACATACACATGACATCCATAAACAGCAATTTGTGGAGTACACAAAGATTTGCTCCGTGCGAGAATCGCACCGCAAAAGAAGTTGGTTACCCCGCCATGTGTAGCGGGTTTGTTTCCCTCGTAGATAGAAATTGTCGGTCCTACGGGCACGGGGCCTCGAGTGCCCTTATAGTAGACGATACTGCTACCTAAGTACCTACCCCCTCGGGCTTTATAAGACACTAGCTTTTACCCGCGGCTTCGCTCGCGTCACAAAAGGATAAAAAGTAGCCTATGTGACATATACCAATACACACAGCGTCATCTATACCAATAATTTCGTTTTCCCTTTAGAATATCAATAGAATATCAGGGATAAAAAGTACCCTATTATTTAATCCAGACTTCTAACTTTACGTCTGCAAAAATTCAAAGCAATCGGTTTAGTAGTTACGGCGCGAAAGTGGAACAAACAAACAAACTCACTTTCCGATTTATAATATTAGTAAGGATGACTTTATTTTTATGTTGAAATTCTCAACAGAGTCTTGAATCAATCGCTGTACGACCAATCGTGCAGTGTTTGACTCTGTCTAACTAATAGTAGTAGTAGACTAATTAATAGTCATTACAATAATTAAAATAATTTAAACAAAAACATGACGATGACGTTACCAACAATTATCCAGCTCAAATCGTCTTGAACTAAACGTAAACAGCACTCGTGTTGCTTGTATCGTTAACATAATATTTACACTTTAACGCGACCTATAAAGTTGTAATTCGATACTTTATTTCTACTCCAGTAGTTTTTAGTCCGGTACAACGAACTGAAGGATGCAAATCATCCGGTTTGGTGGTCCCTCACTCAAATATTGAGGGACCGACTACCTATAGAGACGAGATGTCGTCTGTAGGTTAGGTTACGTAATGAATACAAAAGAATAAAATCACATCAAGATAACACAAACACTCGTAGCTATGTTCACCAACCAACAACAGCGAATACCGGAATAATTTATGTGACTAGAAAAGTAGTTAAATATGAGGGTGGATTAAAGAAAACTTGTCACTTTGTTTCAAATATACCCTCATATTTTGATAACGACGCTAAGATTAAAAATATAAAAGGTCATAAGCGCCACTAATATTGCTATGCAAAAGTGTTTTGACACTGGAAGTCTACTTCTGTCTGTTTGTGTACATACATATAATAAAGAGGGATTTGATTATTTGTTTGCATTTAACATTAGCACGAAACAAATAGATTGATTTGTAAAATACTCTTTGTCTCGATATTTCTAGAGTTCCAATTGGACCTACTCGAGAGAATCCGAATTAAAAACGAGCAAGCAACAATAGGATAAAAGGAAATAACTTATAATATAAAAATCGTCATTTGTAGACTTGGAACAAAGCTACAAAAACAATGCCTACATTATTATGAATAATAATAATAATAGATACAAAATTGCAATATACGACAATACGTTGATTTGTTTATCAGTCACGTATTGAGATAAATATGAGATCAATGGCATTGTCAATAAGCGCGTGTAGGAAGATGTCAGATAGTGCGTATTTACGAATATTACTTATTTTGTCAATATGCTATTTATAAGCATCTTTAGATTTTTTGCATAGTAACTAGGGTAGGTACTTTATGGGTTACGCCGGTAAACGAGCTGACGGATCACCTGATGGTAAGCAATCGGCGTCGCCCATGGACACCTGGAACGCCGTGAGCGTTACAAGTGTGTTCCCGGCTTTTTGGGTATTAGGACTATGCGGATTGTTGGGGATTCAGGGATTAGAGACATACCATATTAACTAAAATCGCGGGTTACTCACGTAAATACTGAGAAAAGCTACTACTAGTTTCGATGTTGCGCAAGCTACTGAGTCTGCCTGCCTGCAACATCGCCGCGACTGCACACGCTGCTCATGAGGAAGAATATACAGAGGGGCTCTGTGGTTCGAAACTTTTCTCGGTACATATATTCACATGAGTAACCCGCGATTTTTAGTTAACATCCTATTTATTTTGAGAATTTGGACTGGCCAAACCTCAGAGCAAAAAACACTGAAGGATTGAAGGATCAACAGACATTTTTTTCATTTTTAATATATTCTATAGAAGACTATAGAATATGTTAAAAAAGGCACTTATTAGAATAAGTGCTTTTTCCGTCACACAACACAACATCACGCCTTTTATTCCCGGAGGGGTAGGCAGAGGTGCACATTATGCCACTGTACAATGTAACACCCACTTTTCACTATTTAAGTTATGAGTCCCATGTCATAGGGGGTGAGCCTATTGCCATATACCGGGCACAATTCCAGACTCTGTCCTACTACTGAGTATTTTTAAAAAACCCAGTAATATTTTCCGTCATGATACTTTAATTTGACCTCATACATTATACTATACTTACTTAATCCACTTAACTAAAAAAGCAATCAAATATCCGTTAAATTAAAATAAATATGTATCAAATTGACCGAGTTACCTACATACACAGTTTGTTTATACGATTGATCATAGTTATCAATATACGTGAGAGATAGTATTCTGATGTTTATTATCTTAGTTTATGCACCTATCTGTGTGTCATCGTCTAATATACGATTAAGGGTCAATACCTACATTGGCATTAAGTGCCGTTATGTGCACCTCTGCCCACCCCTTCGAGGATAAAAGGTGTGATGTTATGTTACCTACATATCTATAACTAACTACTCCTTCGTGGTTTCACTTGCTCTGCTCGGCTCCTATTGATCATAGCGTGATATTTTAGCTTTCGTCGATAAATGGACTATTTTGTGTCGGTCCAGGAGGTGTTTAAACAAACACATTACGATGACGTTAATTGGGTACTTGCCTTAAACTGTCAAACACCAAGCGGTCACCGGTGACCGCGACCTATTGTTCTTTAATTGTGTCTATAAATACGGTACTCGACGAGTTAATCAAAAATAAATTATTTCGGCTGTTCAATACAATAAAATATTTAAAAAATAGTCACAATTTCATTAATTGATTTTATGACCAACTTAATTTTAGTATTTTACCAGCAATATTAAAAAAAAATAAGTATGCTGTTTGACGCTAAAAACAATCTCGTACCAAATTCATAGAAAACTGTCGTTTTTGACAGTTCAAAAAAAGAATTCGACTAGTTGGCAAGTACCAAGTACCTAATTTAGTTACCTTTTAAAATGCGAACAGTTTTTTTTGTAAAAAGAACACTTTTGTAAGTTATAGAGGGTTCGATGAAATGAAAAAAAAATACGCTAGTGGTTCTGTTTCTTTTCCTCCACGTGTAGATAATACCTTCTTTTATACGGACTAGACTTGTAAACATTAAATGGATGATAAACAGGTCACTGGCTCGAACTTAATGACAAAAGCCATTGTTAACAGCGGTTTAACAAGATCTTTGTGACGTAAATATATACCTACTACAAATAAAATAAATAAACGTGTAAGTTTTGTGTGACTGCCGCGTTGGCCGAGTGGTCGCAAGTGCGACTGCCGGACAAGGGGTCTCGGGTTCGATTCCCGGGTCGGGCAAAGTATTACTGGGTTTTTAAAAATCTCAGTAGTTACACGGAGTCTGGAAATGTGCCCGGTATATGGCAAGAGGCTCACCCCCTATTACATGGGACTCATAACATATATACTTAGTGAAAAGTGGGTGTTACATTGTACAGTGGCTAAGTGCCGTAATGTGCACCTCTGCCTTCGTGGATAAAAAGGCGTGATGTTATGTTATTTAAACGTGTAAGGAAATGTGGCTTCCAGTTCTACATAAGCAAATGATTACAAATTATTCTTGTCTAAACAACGTTTATAAAACCGCCTTCAATCCCCTCTTTTTTGAAGTCGGTTAATATACTAAAACCTTAATATACTCCAACCAAAGTGTAACAAACAGTTTTCTGAAAACCGCATCAATATCGATTCAGCCATTCGCGAGATAATGTAACGCGCGCAAAAGTAAATATATAGAAAAAAAAAAACAAATTCAGTATGTACTTTCACTATCCTCTAGCTCCACCCAAGGAGGGAGAAGTCATTGGATGATTTTCCCCCCTAAAAAAACAAAAAAAAGGGCTGGAATCTGTACTGGCTGACGGTGTTTTTAACCTTATAAACATTATTTACTTTTCCACCATACCGGTGGACCCCTAATAATCTATCTTGCTATCTGCACACTTATAAATCATGCCATAGGATTCTGTCTCAACATTTCAACAGAGCAATAGCTCTCACGTGAAATAAAGACAAATTAAACTAACACACTTTCGTATTAATATATATATATATATACAATGTGTTGTTTTAAAGCCGCATCATTTTCTAGGACGTAACTCGGCTATCGATTCTGAGTCCGAATCAATAAAAAAAATGTAGGTAAATATTTTTCATTTTTCTGAAATTACGGAAATCCGTAAGTGCAAAGTACACTCCGCCGTCTTGTAACTAGATTTATAACGCGGCTTAACACACACAAACTCAAACACGTAATTGATATTATTCCTAATTCCATAAAACTCCAATAAGAAACATTGCTGTCGCTTATTCTGAAATACTGTCGAACTTAAACGATTTACTATAGCCGTATTTTTAACTATGGGCCCGAAACTTTCTATTACATTGAACCTTTATGACTTCTGTGACATGCCCTCGAGAAATGACACGGCTTCAAAACTACACCTTGTATATAGACCTTGGCAGTCACCCTGAGATCGGTCATTGATAAAATAATATCAATTATGTATTATGTAGTTTATTACCTACAAAGGTACAACAAATTCATTGTGTTAGTCATTATGAAGGTAACGACTGTTGACATGACATTATCAATATTGACATTATCTTACTAATATTATGAATGTGAAAGTTCATATCAATCAATCATCAACAGCCTATTACTGGCCACTGCTGACCAAAGGCTTCTTCTCGCACGGAGAAGGTTATCCATTAATCGCCACGCTTGCTCAATGCGGTTCGGTGATTTCAAACTTATAATTAGAAATTATAAGCCCAGGTTTCCTCACGATGTTTTCCTTCACCGTTAATCTAGATAATCTTACAAAATACATATAATTCGGAAAAAGTCACATTGGTACTTGCCGTTGGTAGGTTCCGAACCCGCACTCATGCATTAGTGTGGGAGAGCCATGCTTCGGCACGAATGGACCGGCTAGCTCTACCGGAGTGATACCACGGCCTCACAGAAAACCGACGTGAAGCAACGCTTGCGTTGTGTTTCGTCGTGTGCGTGAGGTTACCGGAGGCCCAATTACCCTCCCCTTCCCCAATCTCCCCATTCCTGAATCCCCAACGATCCTCAAACATCGAATCCCCAAAAGGCCGGTAACGCACTTGTAACGCCTCTGGTGTTCCAGGTGTCCATGGGCGACGCCGATAGCTTACAATCAGGTGATCCGTCTGCTCGATTACCGGCTTATGCCATAAAAAAAAAGTCTTCAACTTCCGGGTCACCACGACATTTTAAATACGAAAGTTCGTATATTTATTTGTTATTCCTACACGTGAAAACGGCTAAACTCAATCACATTGAAATTTGGAACACAGGGGTAGATTAAAGTCTAGAACAGGGCTGTACAAATTCTATCCCCTCGCGGGCTTATTAAATTTTTACAAAAGCTAAGGAGCCAGAAAAATATTTTCAGTTGTATAAAGAAACGTTTAACATTGTATTCTTTACTCACAGACAACTTGCATACGAATAATACACTAAATTTTATTATTGTTGTTGCGCATAAGATGAAAATGTTGAGATTAAAATGTGTCGCGGGCCACATGAAAAAAAAGTCGCGGGTCTTTGTTTGGGCAACCCTGGTATCTATAACACATAGGCTTTTCATCGCACGGGAAACAGCGCAAAGTTGCTGGTAAAAGCTAGTATTAGTAGGTGTAAATGCAATGGTTCATTACCCACAAAGGTACAATAAATTGATTGTATTAGTCATTATGAAGGGAACGACTGTTGACATGACATTACAGATAAATAATATAATTTATTAGACTACGTGAGGTCAGCCCGATATTCATTATATTATCAGGCGTGCGATAATGTTACGTGTAATTAGGTATTAGTGTATAATGTCGCATTGTTTGTTTAATGGGTTGTATAGCAATACCTATGTATGTGCATATGTAGATTATTGTATTTTTACAGTTACTTGGTTTTGAGAGTTCTTTTGTCTGTTTAATTACTGTAAATGTAGAGATGGATGATTACCGGTCTCAAATCTAGCAATAATTTCATTTAGGAGACAGACATAATCTTATAAATGAAAACAAATAAATGGTATAGATTTAATTTATGCCAAATCTCATCCAGTTCTTATTATTTTAGTATAATATTAACTACAGAGACAATTATCCCTTTTTTGACCCTGGGAAAATAGGTTTAGGTTTAGAATTATATTTCTCATAAAGAATCACATACATAATTCGCTTACTAAGAAACAATATTTAACATAAAAGGGTAAACCAATAAATTAATCAATCACTTGATAAACCTTGACAACCTTAAATACTTTATGTATCGTCCTCCCGTGAGGGGGAGGCGTATTACCCCTAAGGTAAACTACGCAAATGGCTAGGGCTCCAGGTTACAGAAGGGCGATACCGCAAGACGCACGTGCCTAAAGACTGGCGGCAGCGCTAAAAACATTAGGGATGCTTTTGAGGTTCTTGTATGCAGAAATACACAGGTGCACTGTTAACCAAGCCATAGATAAAGATAAAGATATTTTATTTCGCAAATATGGGTACATGTCATGGTGGTGCATAATAAAAAATACAGAAACAGCCATATTTTGCCAATTATAAAGCATGCAAAAGTTTTACACTTTTTACAATTCAAGACAATAATTCTAAATAATATCATTCAATTTATAAATAATTCTAATAATTTATCAGTCAATAATATAATTTTATTTATTTTATAAATTAATGTCACAATTTCTAATAATTAAAAAAAATTCAAAATATATAATAGTCAAACATATTGTATAGTATTATTTATTAATGGGTAATGTTATGCTCAACAGGAGGAAGAAGGTACTTGGGGCGAGAGTTTCAAGTCCCACCACGACAGCAAGCCTCGTGGTAACGAAGCCGTGTCTCTGGACTTCAGCTTCCCAGACGCTGACAATGTTTATGGTGAGTTGTAAATATTGACTTCATGTTTTAAATATCTTCACTACATGATAAGCGTAAAAGAGAACAGAGGATATACAAATGCCATTAAAGGTTGGCTGGTGTTGCGTGTGTCCATGGGCGGCGCCGATTGTTTACCATCAGGTGATTAGTCTGATCGTTTACCGCCGAATCTTATAAAAGGAGTCGCGGAGAACCTAAAGGGTAACCGGGGCTCCGGCTCGACGTGCAGGAGAAGGAACGGGGTGGTTTTTAGTCAGTAAGAGTCTGACACTCCCTTCCGCCTCACCCAGGCGGGAGCAGACATTCGATGAATTTCCCCCCTTAAAAAATCCTATAAAAGGAAATGTTATACTGGGTGTTAACAGGGAACCCTTTGTAAAACACTAGGTTTATTTTCAAAAAAGTAAGCAATACCATTTTTCTTTTATGTAATAATAATAGTTGTAAGGAATTAAATCTTTATTTTACGTTGTAATCAACTGCTCAAGGCTAATGTTGCATGAATAACAAGAAAACAAAAACTATTAAAATTATACAACATTTCGTTTCGTTGACATTCTGTATATAATGTGAATACAACTAAAACTAACTAAACTAAAAAAACTCTTGAAGTTTTGTATTGACTTTCCAAACTAATCACTACATAGTATAAAACAAAGTCGCTATCCGCCGTCTGTCTGTCCCTATGTATGCTTAGATCTTTAAAACTACGCAACTGATTTTGATGCGGTTTTTTTTAATAGAGTGGTTCTTAAGGAAGGTTTATATGTATAACACATGCAAATGGCCCCCTGCGAAGCCGGGGCGGGTCGCTAGTTATCTATACTAATATTGTAAAGCTGAAGAGTTTGTTTTTTTTTTGTTTGTTTGTTTGAACGCGCTAATCTCCGAAACTAGTGGTCCGATTTGAAAAATGATTTCTGTGTTGGATAGCCCATTTATCGAGAAAGGCTATAGGCTATAAAATATCACGCTACGATTAATAGGCGCCGAGCAGAGCGAGTGAAACCGCGAGGAATATAGATAGAAACGTCATTGTAAAAACCATTTATCCTGTATCAGGTATTCCGGAACATACGGATAAATTCGCTCTCAAGACAACGACCTCTGGCGAGCCCTACCGTCTGTTCAACTTGGACGTGTTCGAGTATGAACTGGACAGTCGCATGGCTATCTATGGAGCCGTTCCTGTATTGTATTCTCATGGGTAAGTTGTAAATTGTAATACATGATTTTCAGGATATTTATACTTATTTCTTTGGAGTATGAGAAAAAGCGTCCTGAGACAGTTCAAGCAGATAACGAAACTATATTTGTGCAATAACCTACAAAAATCCATTATGTCAGCTATGTTTGAACTATGAGTATAAATATAAGTATATGCCATAAGCTTCACGCTGGTCAGACAGGTTGGAGATCAGTTTAAAAGGTTTAGGTATCAGAGCGGTCTTGACTGGTCTCTATCAATGGTCAACCCGTTCAACACACTCAATGTGTTCCTATTTGTACCTTTGCGCAAAACGACGTACTTGCGCAAAAACGTAGCGCAAAACCCTGTTTTTTGCGCAACCATTAAAAATACTCCTCTTTTCAGTCCGAAGCACAGCGCAGGTGTGTTCTGGCACAACTCAGCTGAGACATGGGTGGACATAGTCAACTATGCGGACAGTACCGTGGTCTCCTCGCTCGTTAACCTTGTCACTGGGGGACAGAAGCGCCGTGTTGATGCCAGGTACGTGAAAAAGAATTTAAATATTTTATTCATTTCATTATAACTTTTAAAGTGCCTACATAAGATGAATAATAATTAGACACGAAACTCTGAAAGCACTTTGTGTGATCCACAAATTGTTGTTTCGTGTCTGGGTGTCTTTGTGTATGTGAACTTGTATGTTTGTAAACGCACCCACGACACAGGAGAAAATCCTAGTGTGGGGCAACGTTTTTTAAAAAAAAACAAAATTAGATCCGTATAAACAGATATCAGCCATTAGTACTATGCCTACAAATCTCTTGAATTTTATTGTAACCTCCTACACTTATAAAAACTCCTAAATGAATTATGCTTTCGACACATGTATTGTAATACCAGTTTATGACAAGATTACATTCCCCAAAATAAACTTTATATCGTGTTTCAGATAGAATTTTTTAAGCGGTAGTAAGTGCAATAGGGTAGACGACTAATTTTTATTTTAATGTCCGTCTGGTAGATTATTTAAAAACATTAGACACGTATTTTTTATTTTCTTACGGAAACGAATAGTTTCGAAGATATATTGATTTGAAATGTCGCGTGACGTCACTTCTCAGTACATTTTATACTGAGAAATGACGTTTTAGCCCCCACTCCTAAACTTTGATTCGTTTTATCTAAGTATTGTTTTATTATACGACAAAATAAAAAAATACGTGTCCTATATTTTTTAATTATCTAACTTACGGACTAATTAGATTTTTAATTTTCATACCCTGTCATCATCCCCATTACCGAGCTAGGATTAGGTAGGCAGAGTTCTAGGTAAATTAAATAATGATTTATTATGATTATCCATTTAAAACATTATCACCGTGTATAATAGGCTTGAAAAAGTGTAGATTTTTATTTTTATTTGTTATCCATTTACGACATTAGATTTTATTACCGTTTGTCGTTTTGTTTCAGGTTCATAAGTGAGTCGGGCATTGTAGATGTGTTCGTGTTCCTGGGAGAGAAGCCATCAGACGTGTTTCGTCAGTACGTCATGTTGACTGGACCTGCGCCATTGCCTCCTGTACGTAACTATTATTATTTAATAGCATGAATGATGATTGCCCATTAAGGTAATGTGAGCTGTATCTGGTGCTGGTTAATGTAGTTTTTACTTTATTTGATGTTGAGATTTTTGGATATTATTCCGACATCATTATATCAGCCACAAGACGCCCTTCTGCTGAACATAGGTCTCCTCTAATGATCTTAACATCGGCCAATTCTGACATGCATGGTGAATTTTCTTAGTTTACCAAATTGTTGCAGTTACTTTTGAATATTGCTATTATTTTTTTTTCATTCCAATATCAAGCTACAGAACAGAACAGAGAGCTCTCTAAATTATCGATGAGTTAACCGCGATTCCGAAACCACATGGCAAAGCAGTTAATGATGACGGATTAAACAAGCCTTCCTTCCTCCTTATTGGAAATATTAATCTACAGTGTACTGCCCACCGTTGGCCGAGTGGTCGCATGTGCGACTGCCAGGCAAGGGGTCTCGGGTTCGATTCCCGGGTCGGGCAAAGTATTTGGGTTTTAAAAAATCTCAGTTTTAGCACGGAGTCTGGAATTGTGCCCGGTATATGGCAATAGGCTCACCCCCTATTACATGGGACTCATAATATAAATAGTAAAAAGTGGGTGTTACATTGTACAGTGGCATAATGTGCACCTCTGCCTACCCCTTTGGGAATAAAAAGGCGTGATGTTATGTATGTACTGCCCACCCTTTATGCCTTAACAAATTCCAAATAATATTACATTATACTAACAAAATATTTTTCCCCAGAAATTCTCTTTAGCGTACCACCAATGCCGCTGGAACTACGTGGACGAGGCGGACGTGAGGTCCGTCGACAATGGGTTCGATGAACATGACATACCTGCCGACGTCATCTGGCTAGATATCGAGTACACCGACAGGAAGAAGTTAGTATACCTTCTAATATAAAAATATCATCTGTCTGTGTGTTTCATCTTAGGAGGCTCTGGCGTTAGGCGGATGGAACAAGGGCCTAATACACTACTCTATTTTCTTCGTAAACTGTAATTATTTTAAAACTAAAAAATTATAGTCATCATTTAAATTTAATAAATACGTCATCGCCTACTCAGGTACTTCACATGGGACCCCCTAAAGTTCCCGAACCCCGCAGAGATGATCGCCAACCTGACGTCCAAGGGTCGGAAACTGGTCACCATCATAGACCCCCACGTCAAGAGAGAGGCAGGCTACTTCCTCCATGAAGACGCTACTGATCTTGGATACTATGTTAAGGATAAAGATGGGAAGGATTATGAAGGTATGTTGTTTTTATTTTTGTTATTTTTATGGAGTAAACCGGTAAACTAGTGTCTGCTTGATCACCTCATGGTAAGCAATCGGCGCCGCCCATGGCCAACCGAAATACTAGAGGTGTTACAAGTGCGTTACGTTACGATTGTTGGGGATTCGGCGATTGGGGGACATTGGGGAGGGGGTGTTTGGGCCTCCGGTAACCTCATCAGAACATGGCTGTCCAACACTTATTACGTCAGTAAATAAATATTAGTCTAAGAGCTACTAAACTAATATTGGGTTTGGGGTTTGTTCGAACTCGAAATCTCCGGAACTACTAAATAAATCTCTTTGTATTGGATAGTCCATTTACTGAGGAAGGTTATGGACTATCAAACATCACGATACGGTCAGCAGTGGGTGAAACAGCGCGGGGTTCGTTTTCTCCAATCTGGTTAATAAGTATTTTAATTCTATCCAGGTTGGTGTTGGCCTGGTTCCTCGTCATACCCTGATTTCTTCAACCCGGTTGTAAGCAAGTATTACTCGGAGAGGTACTCGTTCGAGAACTTCCCTGGGACCAGCAAGGATGTACACATTTGGAATGACATGAACGAACCAAGTGTGAGTAATTTTGTAGTCTAGAAAGAAAGAAAGAAAAAACATTAATTCAGCTCCAGGCACGATGCAGCATAATAAAATATAAGAAAGACAATAAAGGTGTGACAGTGGAAGTAATAAAAACATAAGATTTGAAAAATAAAATAAAATAGGAGACGCTAACAATATGCCTAAAAGGGTCCAATTTTAGTAGTCGGGAATCGAACTTGATGCTTCTTAGTCCGTTTTGTTGATTTACTTATGTAATTAATTGGGCAAATAATTCCATTTTATGTAACAATACTTGAAATATTGCGCTGCGACACACCATGAACTTCTTTTTGTGTGTTCGCATTGTAGTCTGTATGTGTGTCGTGGCGTAATCTTTTAATAAAGCTGGCTAGCTTCAAAGTTTGAAAAATAAATAAATTAACTAAAATCGCGGTTTACTCACGTGAATATACTGAGAAAAGCTCTACTTTTTTCGAACCACAGAGGGGTTCTTCCTCATGAGCAGCGTGCGCGGTCGCGGCGATGATGTCGCGCAGCTCAGTATACTCACGTGTGTAACCCGCGATTTTAGTTAATTTAGTACGTCTCACGATAGTTATTATAAAAATAAATAAATTGTTATTACATGCATGACTAGTATATCCCAGGTATTGCGATAATCATGCATAACAATAAAAATCTATATAAAAAGCTAGCGATCCGCCGCGGCTTCGCACGGGTGAAATATGCATGCATTATACATATAACCCTTCTTTAAGAATCACTCCTTCTATTAAAATGAAACCCATAGCAGCGCCATCTATTGATTACTTACTCAACCCAGTCGAAAGGTATCGACATCTGTTAGAATCATTTGGAGTTAACAGATAATTGTGACTGTCAAATAATAACAGACTAATAATCCTTACTTATATTATAAATCGGAAAGTGAGTTTGTTTGTTTGTTTGTTTGTTTGTTCCACTTTCACGCCGTAATTACTAAACCGTTTGCATTGAATTTTTGCAGACGTAAAGTTAGTAGTCTGGATTAAATAATAGGATACTTTTTATCCCGGAAAAATTTGATATTCCCGAGGGAAAACAAAAGTATTGGTATAGATGGCGCTGTACGTATTGGTATATGTCACAGGGGCTACTTTTTATCCTTTAGTGACGCGAGCGAAGCCGCGGGTAAAAGCTAGTTAGCAATAAATTAAAATTGCGACTATAATTTGAGATTTAAACTATCCTATCTCTCAAGTTGGATCGAATTACACATGGTGTGCGAATTTTATTATAATCAGTTAAGTGGTTTAGGAGTCCATTGAGGACAAACATTGTGACACGAGATTTATATATATTAAGATATAGAAATGATTATGTAATCTCATGCGCAGGTATTCAACGGTCCAGAGATCACGATGCCGAAGGACTGTCGCCACTACAAGCCGCCCCAGGACGGGAACGACGGACTCGCTGCTTACTGGGAACACAGGTCAGCGGGAACTATTTACTGATCCTGACTTATGACGGCACGGTTGGTGCGGTGGTTCGATTCCCGCACCGAGCAACTCTGTGTGATCCATAGATTGTTGCTTCGAGTCTGAGTGTCATGTGTATGTGAACTTGTATGTTTGTAAACGCACCTACGATACAGGAAAATCGTATCGTGGGGCAACGTTTATTAAAAAGAAGTTAACCGATCTTAATCGAAAATCTTTAGATTGAGATGAATTTTTGACATCAATTCTATAAAGTTCAGTTATTAATAAAATCTGCAGTTGGAAGAGTCTAATTTAAAGTTCTGATCTACGCCAAAATAAATAAATTGAATTAAAAAAGGTTCTGATGTATTGGAAAAAATCTTCCATTCCAATTGTTAAAAAAGGATTTTTGGCAGGTTCCTTTAAATTAGTTTACTATAAAGATAAGGTTAAGATTTCTGCGAATTGCTGTTATATTAAATCTAAACCTTAATACTGCCTCGTTGGCCGAGTGGTCGTAAGTGCGACTGCCGGGCAAGGGGTCTTGGGTTCGATACCCGGATCGGGAAAAGTATTACTGGGTTTTTAAATATTCTCAATAGTAGCACGGAGTCTGGAATTTTGCCCGGTATATGGCAATAGACTCACCCCCGATTACATGGAACTCATAACATAAATAGTCTAAAGTGGGTGTTACATTGTACAGTGGTATAATGTGCACCTCTGCCTACCTCTTCGGGGATAAAAGGCGTGATGTTATGTTTATGCTAAACTTTAAGATGGTAGTAATAATAAGATGTATTCCCCAGACACGTGCACAACGAGTATGGTCTGTGGAACATCCGCGCGACCCACGAGGGCATGCTGCAGCGCGCAGACAGCAAGTACAGGCCCTTCATACTCACTCGCTCCGCCTTCGCCGGCACTCAGAGGTAAATATTAATTATATTATCTTATAATTAGCTACATCCGCGCGGTTTCACACGCTCTGCTCCGCTCCTATTGGTCGTGGCGTGATGTTTTATAGCCTATAGCCATCCTCGATAAATGCGCTAACCAACACAAAAAGAAATATTCAAATCAGACTTGTAGTTACGGAGATTAGCGCGTTCAAACAAAACACAACTCAAACAAACTCTTCCGCTTTAGTATAATATATGGTATATGCCAACTAGTCGAATTCAATACTTTTTTAAAACGGTTAACAACGACAGTTTTCTATGAATTTTGTACGAGATTGTGTATTGTGACGTCACGTTTTTTTTTTCATTTAAATAATGAATAAATATTAGACACGTATATTTTCATTTGCACGTACATTACAATTATGATCGAAGAAGGTTATGTCTGTCTGTATGTATATTCTGTAAATGCGAGGTAAATACGTGATGAATTATAGGGATGATGACAGGGTATGAAAATTAAAAATCTAAATAGTTAGGTAAAAATAATAATTAGACTCATTTTTTGCGACAAGCATAAGAAAACAATACTTTGATATAACGAATCAAAGTTTAGGAGTAGGAGCTAGCCACGTCATTTCCACGTATAAAACGTACCTAGAAATGACGTGTTTGCATAATAATTAATTTAGTATGTCTCACGATAGTTATAATATGAACATAAAAATGACGTCACGCGATATTTCAAATCGTCGAAATTATTGGTTCAGTAAGAAAATAAAAAAATCGCGTTTTAATTTGAAAATAATCTACCAGACGGACATTGAACGGGGTGGTTTTTAGTTAGTAAGAGTCTAACACTCCCTCTCACCTCACCCGGGCGGGAGAAGTCATTAGATGATTTTCCCCCCTCAAAAAAAAAAGACTAACTTTGAAGTAAATTTGAAATGTACCCTATTCCCCTCTAGATACGCGGCAGTATGGACGGGCGACAACATGGCGGAGTGGGGCTTCCTGGCAGTGAGTGTACCGATGTGCCTGTCTCTGGCCTCGGCCGGTATCAGCTTCTGCGGCTCCGATGTAGGAGGGTTCTTCAAATATCCTGAGGCTGAGCTCATGACGAGGTGGTATCAGGTATGTGGTGCCATCTGTTTATTTATTTTTTTATTTAAGCTTCATGCACAGAGTGTACATAAGGTGGACTTAATGCCGCAGGCATTTTCTCCCAGTCTGACCTTTAGGTGATGCAGAGAAGTCAATGGTGTGAGCAAGAAGCAAGCAACTATGTATTTAATTGAGCGATTAAAATAGATACACTTACATATTTCAGAGATAAACAAACAGAAGGGTAAGTTTTATGTTGATGTTCAAAAGTGCCGTCCTGTTATAATTTAAATAAATGATTTTGACTTTGACTTTAAAACAAATTAACTTTAAAGCATAATAATATAAATGGGTCCTCTGCTTCGTTGACCGCACGGTTGGTGCGGTGGCTGGACAACCAGCTGCCGTGCAACGTATCGCGGGTTCGATTCCCGCACGGAACAACACTTTGTGTGATCGACAGATTGTTGTTTCGGGTCTGGGTGTCATGTGTATGTAAACTTGTATGTTTGTAAACGAACACACGACACAGGAGAAAATCCTAGTGTAGGGTAAAAAAAGGCAAATAAACATTTGTATTTTTAACCGATTTCAAATTTTCAAATTTTCACCAATATCTCCGTTATTTATGAACCAATTTTTAAAAATTTATTTTGATTCTGCATAGTTGTTTTACTATGTAAATGCTATGTACTGTTGTGTTGCAGGCGGGCGCGTTCCAGCCGTTCTTCCGCGCGCACTCCCACATCGAGACCAAGCGGCGCGAGCCGTGGCTCTACGACCCCGCCACCACCGCGCTGCTACGGGACGCCAACCGCAGGAGATACGCGCTCCTCGACTTCTGGTCCGTACACGCATTACATACTGCACTACTGCCTCGTCGGCCGAATGGTCACAAATGTGGCTACTGGGTCGGGCAAAGTATTACTGGGTTTGTAAAACCCTCAGTAGTACGGAGTCTGAAAATGTGCCCGGTATATGGCAATAGACTCACCCCCTATTACATAAGACTTGTAACATAAAATAGTGAAACCTCTGCCTACCCCTTCGGGGATAAAAGGCGTGATGTTATATTATGTAAAAGATTTTAAACGCTTAAGTGCTATAGTTATAATAATGATTATAATGTGGTGTCCAGGTACACGTTGTTCTACGAGCACTCAGTGGACGGGCTGCCCGTGATGCGCGCGCTGTTCCAGGAGTACCCCAAGGAGGAGGACACATACACCATCGACGACCAGTACCTGCTCGGTAAGGACATTGTACATAACTAGCAGTGCCCGCGACTTCATCCGCGTGCAATAGGCACTTTGGATAATTCTTCACAGCTCCTTCCCTGTAAGTATAGCGAGTAGTGATAATATGTAGCCTATGTGTTGACCCGGCCTGTAAGTAATGAGCCGTGGAGAACGTAAAGAGCTGCCGGGGCTCCGGCTTGAAGTGCAGGAGTAGGAACGGGGTGGTTTTTAGTCAGTACGAGTCAGATACTCCGTCTCGCCTCACCCAGGCGAGAGAAGTCATTCCATGATTTTCCCCCTTAAAAAAAGCCTATAAGTAATTAATCATGCAAAGTAAAACCATGCAGTACTTTTTTAGTTTAGCCCGGACATACAACAGACAAACAGACAAATTCTACAAACTATATTTTTAGCTTCGATATCGATTGTTTCGATAGCAGATTATCATATTTAATTTTGTGTGATTTTAAATTAATCTACCAGACGGACATTACAATGAAATTCAGGCAACTAACCTATTATTTAAAAAATCTATTGTTTTCTATTTTAAATCTATTATTTAAAAACACTACCAAACCAATACGAAATATTTAAGTAAGAGAAAACCACGTAAAATGTTAAGAAAAACTGTTACTTATTATCTTTTTTCCCCAGGAAACAAACTCCTAGTCCGTCCAGTAGTGGAGCCAGGAGTGAGCAATGTGAAGGTGTACCTGCCCGGGTCCGCAACCCGCACCCTCTGGTACGACGTCGACACTTACCACGCATACCCAGCCAATGGATACCTAACCTTCGATGTTACGCTCTCTAAGGTACATATACATACATATAGCTTGTATTATTGTTTATTTTGGTATTCTACGCTGTAATATAATAATATGAGTTAAGTAACTGTTGCCTGTGACTCCCACATTGAGACTTCGTCCGCGTAGAATATGATTTCTGTTTTATCCCATGGGAGTATTAAATCGGGATAAAAAGTCCTATCACCTAAGTCAGCGCATTCCCTGCCTGTATACCAAATTTCATCAAAATCCGTGCAGTAGTTTCAGCGTAATTGACGGACTAATATACAAGCAATAAGCGATAATATGACTAAATAAAACAACCAATAAAGAGATAGAATGACTACTTCATTGGCCGAGTAGTCGCAAGTACGATTACCAAGGAGTCTCGGGTTCGATTCCGGGGTCGGGCTAAGTATTACAGGGCTTTTTTAAAAAGAACTCAGTAGTAGCACGGAGTCCGGAATTTTGCTTGATATATGGCAATAGGCTCACCCCCTATTACATGGGACTCATAATATAAATAGTGATAAGTGGGTTTTACATTGTACAGTGTCATTAAGTGCCCTAGTGTGCACCTCTGCCTCCCTTCAGTGATGTGATGTTCTTGTCCCCGTCCCCCCCCCAGGTGCCAGTGTTCCAGCGCGGCGGCGGTATAGTCGTCCGCAAGGAGCGCGTGCGGCGCTCGTCCGCGCTCATGGCCGACGACCCCTACACCATCGTCGTCGCACTCGATGCCAATGTAAGTTCTTTCTGTTGGCTTCAAACAGGTATTGTTCAGTAACATTTACTATAGGAAAAATTCAAGATATGTAAGAATTTTTTTTATTCTTTATTTATTTACAGGACTTTTATTCTTAACCCGTTAAAAATTTTCCCCTAAATTTGTTCATACAAAAGTAGTCTCTAAGCATTGGAAATAAGGTCTATAATGTAGTTAGTGGAGAGCGGTCACCAGTGACTGCTTGGGGATCTATGGGTATGTCAGTAGGTTTTTGGGTAGTAGCATGGAGTCTGTAATGGTGGGGCTACATTAGCGGGTTACGGCGATGTATGTGGGCGGGGACATCGTTATAACGCGATGTATTCGCGCGTACACGACGTAGCATCCGAGCACTGTCACTACACTGGCTTAAAACGACTTGTCGCGACAATATTCGCTTGAAACCTACGTCACTTCACTGTCGTGATGTCGTCCAGACTTTGAAGCGAGACTGACGTTCACTATGCACCACTCCACAACGAAAACTGCTTCCTACAACGTCTCGACAATACAACTAAACGTAATATTCACCGTCGAAGAACCTTACGGGTTACCGGGGCTCCGGCTCGAAGTGCAGGAGTAGGAACGGGGTGGTTTTTAGTCAGTAAAAGTCTGACACTCCCTCCCGCCTCACCCAGGCGGGAGCCATTCGATGATTTTTCCCCCTTAAAAAAAGAGCTTTCTGCATCTTTTCCCGCCAATGTAGACGGGAACATCGGGTATGTCCGACAAATGATGTTTTGCTCGCCAATGCGATACTAATCTTTCTCCGCTAATGTAGCCCCAGCATAATAGAGTATGATGTAGAATGATACGGATACCCAATTATGTGACGTGTAAGTTTTGATTGTATGTAATAGGGATGATGACAGGGTATGAAAATTAAAAATCTAATTAGTCCGTCAGTTAGATAATGAAAAATATTAGACACGTAATTTTTTATTTTGTCGTATAAGAAAACAATCCTTAGATAAAACGAATCAAAGTTTAGGATTGGGAGGTAGCTACGTCATTTTAGAGTATAAATCGTACTCAAAAGTGACGTCATGCGATATTTCAGATCAATATATCGTCCAAAGTATATATAAGAAAATATAAAATACGTGTCTATTGATTTTAAATAATCTACCAGACGGATATTAAAATAATAATTAGTCATATACCCTATTGTATATGTTTGTTTGCAGGGCACATCAGAAGGCTCGCTGTACATTGACGACGGAGAGACGTACGAGTACAGGAACAACAAGTACATCTATGCCAAGCTGGCGTACGAGCCCAGCGCTATGACTTACTCGTGAGTATTTTATTAATAAACCGTCTATGTCAGGAAGGAGGGTCTATATTGTTTAGGAGAGTGATTGAAAAAGAGTAACCTATGGAGTTTCTTGCTGCGTTCAAACGCATCCTCCCCAACCTCGGGGGGCCAAACGCCTCCTGCCGGAGGTTATACGCCGGGGTCGTGCGGTCCATGGCCCTCTACGGCGCCCCTGTTTGGGCGCCGAACTTGTTGCGGCGTCCTGCTCGGACGCTGCTCATGTCACAGAGGGTCATGGCGATCCGAATGATCCGCGGATACCGCACGATCTCTGGGGAGTCGGCGAACCTCCTTGCCGGATCACCGCCGTGGGATCTGGAGGCGAAGGTGCTCGCGCGCGTGTATAACATGCGCGCGGAGGCACGTCGCCGGGGCGAAACTCCGCTGCCGCGCCAGATAAGTGCGTGGCGGGATGAGCTCCGGCGCGATCTCATGGCGGAATGGCAGCAACGACTGTCGCAACCGAGGGCTGGGCTCGCTGCCATTGCAGCGGTAAGTCCCCTCTTTGAGGAGTGGCTTGAGAGACGCTACGGCGTCCTCACCTACCGCCTGACGCAGGTCCTCACCGGACATGGAAGTTTCGGAAGGTACCTGTGTCTGATGGGGCGGGAGGAAACGCCCGGGTGTCATCACTGCGAGGACCGCCCTGAGGACACGGTGGAACACACAGTGGGAGAATGCCCTGCGTGGGCTGAGCACCGCCGTGCCCTCAGGGAAGTGATCGGCGATGGCGACCTCTCGCGTCCGGGCCTAGTGCAGGCCATGATGCGGAGCGAGGGGGACTGGGATGCCGTCTCCTCCTTTTGCGAAGCAGTCATGCTAGCTAAGGAGGAGGCGGGACGCGCGAGGCAGCGAAGCGCTGCCTCCTCGCAACCCAGCCATCGCGAAGGATACACCGGGCGTCGGGGATCGCGGGACGATCTCCGGCCACCGTAAGCGCGGGCCTGCGGACGGCGAGCATGGGTGGCTCCCCGTCCGACCAGAAACAGACCCGAGCGTACGGCGCGTCGCGCTCCGCGCGCGCCTCAAAGAGCCATCAGACCACCACAGATGGGGCCCAATAGGGCCGATGCCGGTTCGGAGTCGCGGAGAACCTAACGGGTAACCGGGGCTCCGGCTCGACGTGCAGGAGAAGGAACGGGGTGGTTTTTAGTCAGTAAGAGTCTGACACTCCCTTCCGCCTCACCCAGGCGGGAGCAGTCATTCGATGATTTTCCCCCCTTAAAAAAAAAAAAAAAAAAAAAAATGGAGTTTCTTGCTCGTTCTTCTCCATAGGAATCTACGCCTTGGAATGAGCACCTAGCTTCACTTATACATTTTTGTTGTTTGACGTTCAAAAGTGCCATCCTGGTCTAATTGAAATAAATGATTTTGACTTTGACTTAAGACAAATCTTGTTGGGTTTATTCTCATCAACAGTTACTCAGTGATGGACTCTCTGTAAAGGCTCATCTACTTAGGGATTTTATTCTTAGGTTTTTATTGTTTTCTGCTTTAAAAAATGTAATCAGTATTGTTGCAGCCGTTTCAGAGAATATGATTACAAATGTTGTTTGTTTTTTAGTTTTATAGTCTAAGGTATACTGCCTCATTGGCTGAAGGGTCGCAAGTGCGACTGCCGGGCAAGGGGTCTTGGGTTATTTAAATCACAGTTCCAATTCTAAACTCACTTAATTTCTCCCCGACAGCTTCGTAAACGATAAAGCGAGCTACCCAACCCGATCCTGGGTGGAGCGCATAGTCATCGCCGGCATTAAGAACCCTCCTAAGACCGCCAAGCTGGTCCAAGGGGAGAAGCAGACATCTCTACAGATGACGCTGCACAAAGGGAACGACGTGCTCGTGGTCCGCAAGCCGGCCGCCAGTATGGCGCAACCTTGGAAAATCATCTTTAGCTATTAAGATTTTAGGTAGAAAATGGATTGTTACTGCTAACCGGCTCGGTAAGATACGTATGTAATGATATTTCTCTATTAATATAATAGAAATCAGATTAGTCGGTTTTCAATCTTATTGTCTTTGCTATAAAGTCTATTGTAGTTTGATGTAGATGTTTGTGTAGTTTTGTGTAATAGATTTTGAACCTTACCGCCTTTGGTATGAAGTCGAATGTCTCTTGTGGTTTCGCGTTGTTTCGAAGTATTAGTATTATCCATCACAAAAAGATTTATTCAAACCTTCAAGGAAAGAGCGATTTCCTTTTTAAAAGGCCGGCAACGCACCTACGACTCCTCTGGTGTTGCAGGTGTCCATGTGCGGCACTGATCGCTTACCATCAGGTGATCCGTCCGCTCGTTTACTATAGAATACTATATAAAAAGTATAATTTTTTAATACTCTTGCTTCCTATTAAATAGTACTAATAATATAAATGCTACATCAAACACTTCATCTGTTTAAAAGATATAATACCACAAACAGATATACACATACATTTTGAAATTACAACTATAGGTACTTTATTCTGTCGTTCTCCATAAAATATAGTCATAATAATGTCTAATCCGACGCCGGTAAGTTGTAACTGAAAAAAAAAACTCAAAACAATAGGTTATTTATTTTTTCGAGTAAATAATTCCGAGTGTTATGTACTACAACTATACTATGTATTAGTAAATTAATATTAGGACCTTGCCAGTCCTCTGTAATTACCCGACTGTATCAAAAGGAGGGCTATGTGTTTCAAGTGATATGTTTATAACATTTTCTCGTTGGTTACTTAGTTGAAATGTTATATTTTGACTGTATTATGAACTAATTACTTCTGCGCGATTTCAACCGCTCTGCTCGGCTCCTTTTGATCGTGGCGTCATGTTTTGTAGCCTATAGCCTTCCTCGATAAATGTACTATCGAACACAAAACGAATTTTTCAAATCGGCGCAGTAGTTCTTGAGATTAGCGCGTCCATATATATTCTGGATTGCTGAATTTATAGAATAAATAGAATTTATAACATACATGCATCAATTGAATGTGCAATTCTGCATCTTATGGGCGTTTCAACCAACCACCTCTAAATCTTGTCTTAACTAAAAGTTATTAACGGGACGTAGCTTCTTAGCTAACCTCTTAGGCTCTGACTGCATTTCAACTGCAATCCAACGGCAAATTGCAGTTTGGTCATGACTGCAATAGAACTAATAAATAATAATAACTGCAACATAAATAGTGAACAGAGGGTGTTACATTGTACAGTGGTATAATGTGCACCTCTGCCTACCCCTTCGAGGATAAAAGGCGTGATGTTATGTTATGTGCAATAGAACTGCAATCGGACTGCTCGTTTGGTTTACAACCGTTTGGTCATGACTGCAATAGAACTGCAATCAGACACGTTCAATTGCAGTCGTGTCAACAGCGTTCAATGAATCTGGACTGCAATTTGCAGTTGGATTACAGTTGAAATGCGGTTCGTCTATTTGTCACTTATAGGTCGGTGAAAACCAAAATATCAGTAAATGTCTCCTATCTTTGCTAAGGGGTTCCTTTGAATTTAGGGGTGGTTGTTCAATGCGCGCATTATTCAGTAAAAAGCTTAAACTGAAGATTTTTAAATACAGTCAAAATTTAATAAAATTGTATCATTAAGACACTGTTTTAAGGAATAGAATGAACTGTGATTGTCGTTTACGTACTTAAAATGAAAGTACGTAAATAAAAATTGGTTAATAAATTAATAAATGTATAAAGAAACAGTGTCGAAGTGAATACAACTCTATTAGGAAGCAATAAGGACTAGATTTCAGTGTAGGAACTCAGTGATCAGTCATTCTTGATAGTTACACAAACTCTAAATTGACAACTGGTATTTATCAAATCGATGAGTAAATTGAAACCTTCACATAGGTGAAATACGATGTAATTTCGTTTGTATACATATTGCTAAGAAAACATTAACCATATTTCTTTAGAGATTCTTTAAACAAAATGATGACCAGTTTTTGAAAATAAAAACTCCTATATCGTGGGTGCGTTTACAAACATACAAGTTTACATACACATGACTCCCAGACCCGGAACAACAATCTGTGGATCACACAAAGATTTGGTCCGTGCGGGAATCGACGCTACCTTTGCCGCGCAACGTGTAGCTGGTATCTTCGTCGTAATCATTGTCAGTCCTTCGGGGCATTCTGAGGAGGGGGGGACGTGGGTATGGGCTCAGAGTGTCCTTATGGTACAGAGGGTACTCAGTAAAATAACATTATTTCTTAAATTCCTTTCACCTTTAAATCCTAGTCACAAAAACAAACATTTTTGAAGATTTTTCTATAATATGGAATGGTCTGTAGCAGTATGTGTATTATATTCGAAAGACGTTTGTGTAACACAACTCCAAATAGTTGTAATCATTAGTACATCTAGCATATGATTATCGCTCCGTAAGATTATAAGTACCTAATTACGATTTTTTTAATAAAATAATACAATCAATCAATTGTATTTTACTCAGCATTAAAAATACTGGAAAGTATTTCTCTCTGTATTTTATTATCTAGAACAAAAAATATGTAATTTTTTTTTATAGTCTATGACCAGTATGTATTATTCCATGTTGTAGATAAAAAATCATATTGAACTCTATGTATTGTCTGTGGTTTAATGAAAACTGTTTGCAAATCTGTAACGGGTAAGGTAATAAAGAATTTTATTGTATGTATGTGATAATAAAATACATTTTAATTAATTTTGTGGTTTTATTTATTTAGTAGCTGTGTTGTCTGCGACATTGTCCGCGTCTACGCGTCTGTTGTGTAGTCTAGTAAGAATTTTAGGACATAACTTTCATTATGTTTTAATTTTCTAAAATAATCGCCTATGTCACTTCTTAGTACATCAGCTAAATGCCAATAAAAGTCCCGTCAAAATCAGTCTAGTTATTCTAGAGATTAGCCAGTAGAAACAGACAGACAGACAAATGTTATTTTGGTATGTGTATCGTATGCATGTAGTAAAAAGCGGTTATTTTAATATTACAAACAGATACTGCAATTTTATTTATCTGTATAGATATCTTTACCATTCATGGGGCACAGGGTCTTGGACCTTTGGAAGGCGAACAAGTGTCTACGATTTTTTTTTGCTTACAAGTTGACAAGGTCTGTTGGTCGGTTGCTTGGTGATTTTTTTTAAAGTCAGTAGTACTTTGCCTGACCCGGGAATCGAATCCGAGACCCCTTGCCCGGCAGTCGCACTTGCGACCACTCGGCCAACGAGACATACTGTCTACAGAGTAACTAAAGAATAATTTCACATGCGGTGCTCGGAGCGCCTTCAAGCTACCACAAGAGTGTGCGCGCCAGTGTTCCCAGTCACCGCCTGGTGCTCGGCGCTCCGCTACATTACTCCGCTCGGCTCCGGCTTGTTGACGGTCACATGCCTCGAGAGTTTAAACTGGTTTGGTAGTGTGTTGAACGAGATTATGAACGGTAAAAAATTAATTATTTTTCTTCTTTTGCAAGCGCAGCAATAATAATCATGTCCCAGTCCCACATCCATTACGAACGAGAGCGAGATGTCTGTGTATCGATTAGCATTAAATGACTTGGTTGCGTTCGGAGCAGCCGCGCACCGCCGCGCTTCTCTGCGCTTGAAGGCTCTCAAGGGTTCTTGGTGTCGCTCGAAGCGCTCGGAATCTGCCAGCGCGTTATAAGGAAATGCGCTCTGCCGCGCCTCTAGTGGTGTGCGATGCAAGAACCGTTTTTTCAAACACCAGATAGTGCTAATTTAGGAAGAGGTTTTTTTTGACCAATCATTGCAGCTAATTCCCTATTGGACTAAGAACGTGAGGTGAACCCTAGTAGCCTCCATTCACAAGGGCCTGTCGATCAACTTAATATAAATATATGGATCAGTCGTCTATTATTTATACAATGTAAAGTTTATTAGAATTGAGAATTTTTCAGTGAGAGTTACGAAGTTAAATTGGCTACTAAGCAAACGTTACTGGGTTTTTCTGAGTAGAAATATTTTTAATTGGTTTTCATTTTACAGTAGATCAAGGCTAATAGTAGGTAATAGCATTTTTTTAAGAGGTGAATATAATCGAATGTCTGCTCCCGCCTGGGTTAGGCGGGAGGGAGTGTCAGACTCTTACTGAAAAACCACCTCGTTCCTTCTCCTGCACGTCGAGCCGAAGCCCCGGTTACCCGTTAGGTTCTCCGCGACAATAGTAATAGCATAGAGGCGCTATTAGTGATTATAGGGGCTTCAAATTCAAGATTCTGAAGACTTTATTTTAAAGGGGGAAAATCATCGAATGACTTCTCTCGCCTGGGTGAGGCGGGAGGGAGTGTGAGACTCCTATTGATTAAAAACCACCCCGTTCCTTCTCCTGCACTTCGAGCCGGAGCCCCCGTAACCCGTTAGGTTCTCCGCGACTCCGAAAAGATTCTCAAGACTTGACCCTCTACTTGGGAGTTTTAGCATAACTGGTACAAATAGACAATTAATTATGTAAGTAAAGCAACTGTACTAAAGGTTCAAAATGAAATGACAAAATGCTGCTGTTCAACAAACAATATATTTTTCTCTTATCATTACACTAAGTAGACAACTAAATATCAGGCACCAAATTATATAACACCAAGGACGATAAAACAAAAGGCGGACACAGTCTCTTGAATTTACGACTGTGGCACCTGGGCCTTTAGCCAAACGCCACTTTAGCGTTTGTCTACAGAAAGAGTAAAAAACTAAATGTATGGAGATGACACTGACAAGTGTCAAAATTTACGTCAATTCCATATCATTTGGTTTTTTCTATTCTACAAGTAGACAAGCGCTAAATGGCATTTGGCTACAGCTGCTGGCTACTATAGACTTACACGCAGAATACACATACATTGATACGAAGGACATCTGTCAAACATGGCTTGTCATTACACTTCATACATTACAGTGTTGCAAGTAAGTATAACACACAAATAAATACACCACTGACATTTTGGCGCTTTAATCATTTCTAAGACAATACGTCCGCCTTGTGTTCAACATCCTTGTATAAAACACATTATATTACATATTTATTTGCCGCAGAGAAAGTACATAAAAATAACACAAGAGTTAAAAAAGGGGACCTAATTTTAAACAAAACAATTTTTACTATAACTTTCATTAAGCCCAAATACTAAAGGCTACTCAATTGTAAGTTCTACTTAAATATAATGCCATCTCTGTAATTATACAAATAATTTTTTATACTGACAGAACTATTCTTAAGCGCGACTTAAAGTTGAGTGGCGTTTGAGAATTTAGACATTTTAAAAAATTCTCAATGGTAGCACAGAGTATGGAATTGTGCCCAGTATATGGCAATAAGCTCACCCCCTATTACATGGGACTCATGACATAAATAGTGAAAAGTGGGTGTTACATTGTACAGTGGTATAATGTGCACCTTTTCCTACCCCTTCAGGGATAAAAGGCGTGATGTTATGTTATGTATTACAAAATATCTTGGGTGCTTCCTATCATCAACTAGTTTTCACTAAACACAAGTCAGTCATTAAAAATCAGAAAGAAGTTTTCAATAAAAGGTTGGCTTAAACTTAAAATAAAAAAAAGTTATCCTAAAGTTAATGTTGCCACAATATCATAAAAACGTGTTTTTTATTACTATCCTGCTTATTCTAAGACCCCAATATTAGCCACAATACTATACATGCCCATTTACTTTCTCTGCAGCGAAATATTCTCTTTATAGCCACGAATCAATTATTTATGATTGACACTACAATTTCAAACAAATTTAATAATACTCATTAAAAACAAAAAGAATATCTGAGTAGAAAACGGTTAAAACCAAACTAAGAAATATTAAAGAAAAATTGAACAAAATATGTTTCCAACTTGTAAGTACTTTTATGGTTGTAATTGAGTAATGTTCTTTTAACATAACCAATTAACAATAATAAAAAAAACAAAATCCTTTAGCTTATATTTGTCGCCAGGACGCTTGTGTAGCATTGGATTTAAAAACCAATTTACTAATTTTACTTATTAAATTGTGAGGTGGACTTAAATCAACGACAGCGCCACCTAGCTATCGCAAAAATTCTCATTTAAAACAACATTTAAAGTTAATGATCAATGAAATGAATATTTGAAGTTGTAACATTGTATAAGAATCCTGTAACTACGCTCAACAATATATAACTATAATAATTGGACAATAATAATAATAACTATTGCAATAATCAGCTTAACTTATTATTAAGAATCTGACTTAACTAACATTTATATGAGCTTTACTGGCTTGACAGAACAAAGAAGTTTTTGGTTACAAACAATAATGTATCTTAAACGATTACTCATAAGGGCAATTTTTTAATACACATAAACAGCATTTTGCTCTTAAACCATTGGTATCGTAGTTTGAACCGTCAGAAGTACATCTTAAAGTACATTATTGCTTGTCATCAAAATATAGTCTCCTGTGTAACGCAAGGCAGGGAAATGCTCAACAATATAATAATCAGTGCAAAGTATTAAAATAATAGCTATCACCAACAATTAAACTTGCTCGACAATCGAAAACAACCGTAATCGCTTGTAATAAGGATGAATTTTGAGTGAGTGAAGATGGTGAAATCAAACATTCAAAACAAAAGGTGAATTGATTGCTTTTTGGCACCACCAAGTTACGTTTACATATAACATAAGGTGTAACGTTACGCATACATATAAATTGGGTACTTGCCAACTAGTCAATTTCAATACTTTTTGAACTGTCAAAAACGACAGATATCTATGAATTTTGTACGAGATTGTGTATTGTGACGTCACGTTTTTTCAGCGACAAACTGCGTACTTATTTCTTAAAAAAATAATTTGACTTAGTTACTTAAATAACTAAATACACAAGCTGGAAAAATAACATAACGACACGCCTTTTATCCCCGAAGGGGTAGGCAGAGGTGCACATTATGCCACTGTACAATGTAACACACACTTTTCACTATTTATGTTATGAGTCCCATGTAATAGGGGGTTAAAGCTGGAAAAATACTAAAATTAATTTGGTCATATAATCAATTACTGAAAGTGTGATTATTTTTTAATATTTGATTGTATTGAAAAGTCGAAATATTTTATTTTTGATTAAGGCAAGTACCCAATTATGTATTAACAAGTGTCTTATATGGCAACAACACAGTTAGAAAATTAAAACATTAAGACTTTGACTGCCAATAAAAAACTGTTGAAGGTAAATCCTCGGCCAACGTCGGTCACCGGTGACCCCCATGGCGTTTAACATGTTAAATAATGTCCTTTCATTCCTTACTGCTGGACTTCTGTCATCTAATTAGATTTTTATAAAAATTTTAAAGCATTATTCAGTCAAAATGGAAAGCTAAGCTGATCAGACTTATGGGACCTTACGCCTTGCTAGCTCTCATGAGTACAAGATCGAAAACCCTCAATGTTGTAGCACATTTCTGGCGCCACGTTAGATTTTGGCTTACAGAGGCGTCAAGTTAAATGCTCAATTCCCATGCTCTCCACTTACTCCATTATAGACCTTATTTCCAATGTTTAGAGACTACTTTTGCATGAACAAATGTTGTGGATTTTTCATAAGAAGTTAGGAAGTTAGTTAGAATTTCCCATAAAAATATGAAACCAATTACTTCTTTTTATATCAATTTCATCCACCATCTCCACTCACTCAATACATGACCCTTAACATTAATTTTATAGAAAAACCTACACAAATAGACTAGCTTTTAACACGGGCAACCCGGGCACCGTATAAATACCCCGCCAACGTAAATGCTTAACAAAATCTTACTGTAAGAGCCAATAATATAATAATGTACACTTAATTAAATATATCACTGGATTTTGAAAGATTCATCATTTTAAATTAAAAAGTGTTGTGAGAAATATTAATTACCTATGTTTTACGATCGAACCACGTAACTGTTTCATTCAGAAACTTGACTAGTTTCAAGCCCCTAGCGTATGAACCCCTAGCATGGCTTGTAACGAGTCAGTTACCTTGTCAAAAAGGTTGGTTTTACTTAGTATTTCAACTTGTCGTTACATCGTTCTCACATACAGTGTGGAATTTTGTAATGCCACATGAAGGGGAAATACTCTTAATACTTTATATAGAAAATTTTACCCAAAGAAAACATTCCTTTATTTTCGAAAAGAAACAAAATTGCATTAAGTTTGTTAAGAGAGATTTCATCCTAATTGACCCTAACAATCGATGCAATAAATGTACAGGGTGCAACTTTCACAGATTTTAGTCGGTTCGACTAAAATCGTCCGTGTACGGCAAGCGAATTAAAAAAAATCTTGAATGCATATTTATTTCTTTTCAAAAATAAAGGAATAATTTCTTTGAGTAAAATTTTCTATCTTAAGTATTAAAAGTACTTCCCCTTCAGGTAGCATTACAAAATTCCACCCTGGAACCACCTATACATTAGGTGAAGGATCAGATAATGTATCAATGAGTCTGTAAAAAACATTTTTTTAAAAGAGTAACGATGGAGTTTCTTGCTTGTTCTTCTCCGTTCGAAACTACACTTTGGAACAAGCGCCTAGCTTCACTGACAGACAATTCTTTGTTTCTTTCCAATTTGTATTGTGATGTAAAATAGACTAAAGCTATTTTAAACCCGAATCTTTAGCTACAAAGCTCGAATTAAAAACGCTTTCAAACTTTAAATAGTAATAATAATAATTAGGCTAAAGAGCTTTTAGTTCTTTTTTATTTTCTGCTATATTTGGAAGCCTTATATGTATGTGCACATCACGCCATCGCACTGGGTAACTAGGGCAGACAGGTACGGTATATTTATAACTAAAATTAATCGAATATTTCTTGATCAAACTTTCAAAAACCAGTGATTTCTTTCTTGTTATAGTGATATCGCTAACTATCACACGGTACATCAACATATTTCATTCCTTTAATAGATTTTCGACCTTATTAGAACACATTAAAGTCGAAAAATAGATTAAAGAAATGTGAGATACTGGGATAGGTTAAGCTGCTAATGTGTCTATACATTTATATTGCACTTTCGTCTTCACTAAGCTGCTGTCTCTCTCGCACCATTTACTTATATTGTGATTAAGAAAAAGACGAATATATCTATATCTATTTCTTTACTAAAATATTTATTTATTTCTTTCCTTCAATCTAGTTTTTGTACAAATCGTTTATTTTATAATTTCGGTAATAAATTATGTTTCTCTAATGTAGGTTTTTTTTAACTACAGGCGCTAATTGGCGTCCATCGTAATCGTCCATCTTTCAACTTTTACCAGCAAAGTTGATAAGACCTATAAGATATTACGACACACTAGCGCCACCTACTAAGCAACAAAAACCTACTTTGGAAGACGAAAAAACAAGCGTACCTTTCTAATTTGTACGACAGAGTAAGATTTTCATCCAACTTCAAATGAGTAAGAGGTTCTCTATTCGTCAGAATATTTTTTCTGTATGTATTTACAAAACTATAGCAACATCACTATAACAGATTTAGGCAAGAATTATATTACTTAAAGAATATCCTACTTGGTTTGTCTTCATTAGGGAACTCGATAAAAGGATGTGTCTGTTTGTGTTCTAACATTTCACTTTCACTCGGGAACATGTCCCCACAAATATCACAAGCCACTTCACTACTCTCAGGTGATTCACTTTTCACTCTCTCTTTTTTCTTCTTCTCCTTAATCCCCCACTCTCTCTTCCTCAAAGTCTCTTTCACTTTCTCCTGTTTAGAAGACTCTGGTTGTTGTGGTAATGGCTTTCCAGTCAACAAAAACTCTTTCATATTAATATGTTTAGACGATAATTTGTGATGTTTCAGTCGATTTTCTGAGCTACACTGGTATTCGCAAATGAAACAGACGTATTTCATATCCCCTGTATGGATCTCGGCGTGTGTTTTCCGTTTTTCGGGGGTAGCGAAACGAAAATCGCAGAATTTGCAAGGATACTTCCTTTCTGGGGAGTGGAAACGCATGTGAGAGACTAAAGCATTCATGTCCTTACAAATCTTTCGACATTCTAAACACATTACACCTGTTTCTACAGGTTCTGATTCCTCTACGCTCTCCGTACTGTGATGTATCCGTCTGTGTGATGTTAACCCTTTCTGACTGACGAAAACTCTCCGACAATCCGCGCATTGGAATTGAGCCTCCACTTTTGTATCCGGACTATGCTTTTCTATTTGATGCACAGCCAACTTATCGGCCTCATGGAACTGTAGGCCACATTCCTCGCATTTCCAGGCCTTCACTAACTTCGAGAAGGCTTCTAGAACATCTAAGACTGATTGGCCTTCTACTTCTGGATGGAAAGTTTTGGTATGATTGCCGAAATCAATGATTTTCGAGAATGTTCGCTTGCATCTCGGACAACTGTACGGTTCTTTATGATCATCCATGACATGGGACTTCAAATCAGACAGTTCCACGTAACTCTTTGGACACATGAAGCATTTGAGCTTCTGTTTCCCTTTAACGACTTCAGAAATCACTTTGTACTCCATTAATTGGACTTTTTGGTGATCTTGGAGATGTTTGAAGAGTTCCTTTCTCGTATTGTAGTCAGTAGGACAGAATTTACAGGGAAATCTTTTTCTATGCAGTCGTTTGCGGTGGAGGGATAGTTCTTCTTTATCTTTGAACTGTTTGTTGCAAGACACGCAAGGGTAAGTGTTAGTGTCGGCGAAAAGATTATGCGACCTCAAACACGTTTCCATCCGACTCCTTCGTTGGAACACTTGGCCACAAGTACACTCATACCCCTCCTTTTTCACTCTTTCCTCTTTTTTCACAATTGGAGCATCCAATTCTGCTTTAAGCTTCTTATTTTTCCTTGTGACCTGAGCTCTAATGTGACCTTGGGCACGTTTCTCAATACTATCGTGTACTGCTAAATGTCTTTTCAAACAAGTTTTTTGGCGGTAAGTTTTAGTGCATTTTGGGCATTCGAAGACAAGATCGTCGACTTCCTTCGTCTTTCCTTTAGCTTTGAGAAGACCGTACGCTTCCTGTTCTAAGGAGAGGACGTTACCAGTAATGGAATTTAGTTGGAATGAGTCTTGGTAGTCCATGTAGCTCTCACTATGTTCATATGTTGTTGGGAGGATTTCTTCTGGATTGCCGATTTTGGAGAATCGCATACTAGTTTGTGACATGGGCAGTATTTCCATGACTAAAGTCTTTGTAGTTTTGGACTCAATGAGACCATCGTGTGGATTTGTGATTGTTGATGTAGTGTTAATTACTTTGTTTGATATCAAATGCGTTTCCGTTACTGTCACATCTGATTCTTCTTTAATGTCTAGTTTCTCGTAGTCTTCTTTCTGATTCTGTAATATTAAGGAAATAGCATTAAATGTTTATTATTACTATGGAGTTATGTATTACGAGTACAACTGCAGGAGACCCTACATAGATTTGTTTCCATGCATACATTGTGCATGTTTAAACGTCCATTCTTGCAGAATATAATTCACAATGGTAGGTTACAATTTAATTATAGGTACGAGACAGGAAACATACAAGTGGAAACTTAGACTAATTTTACCTACTTCATACATAACAGGAAAATTACTAGCTATTGAAGAAGTTGAGAGCCTTGCTATACTTGATAATTATTACATTTGAACAACAAAAAGCAAACATGTATCTATATTTTAAAAATATGTTATACTGTTTAGGTATATGTGTATAAAAATACGTAATAACAGCATATTTTTGAAACATGAATTTCAGTTACATCTTTAATTCGACACGAAATCAATTGCTAAGGAAGAGGCTTATACGTTGCGTCCCATCTCGCGCGCGCCTCAAGTAGCCATCAGACTACCATGGATGGGGCCCAGTAGGGCTGATGCCGATACGGAGCCATAGAGGACAAAGACAAAGACAAAGACAAAGATTATTTATTTGCAAAAACACGTGTTAAATAATAATACATCATAGAATGCACATTATTAGTTGTACAGATGAGCAGTGAGCATAGTATCAACATGTTTAACCATTTCTGGTGTACAAATGTGGAATATAATATTAAATCCAATTATAACAGTTATTAAACTTTTAAATTGTAACATTCCTATAAGAGACTCAAACCTCCTGACCAGGGACAACAAAGAAAAATTACAAACACTTGTCATTTACAAAGTCATGAACACTATAATAGCATTTATTAACTAGTAGTTTTTTCAACGCTTGTTTGAATAAGTTTAAATTTAATTTAATAATTTCTTTAGGAATTTTGTTATAAATTATGGGAGCCATACATATCACGCTTTTATGCATTAGTGCTGTTTTAGATGGGTGAATACATAGTCGATTGTTGTCACGTCGATTTCGTTTTACTTTATCAGCCAGAGTGGGAAATAAGTGAGAGTTGCTTCTAACAAACAGTGCTACTTCTAAGATATAGAGTGATGGCACTGTCAGCATTTTATGCGTTATAAATAATGGCCTACAACTCTCCGAACTCTGTTTACGGAACATGGCTCTTACGCACCGCTTTTGCAATTTAAATATGATGTCCTTGTTTGTCGAGTTACCCCAAAAAATTATACCATATCTCAGAGCAGACTCGACAAGACCGTGATATGCTGAAAGTAATGCCTCGATGTTAATTATTGGACCTAAGCTATACAGGACATACGATAAACTACTAATTTTTTTACTTAATGCGGTTATGTGCTCTTTCCAATTTAATTTGCTATCAATCGTTAAACCAAGAAATTTCGCATCAGTTACTTCTTGCACATTATAATTGTCGTGAGTTAAATTTACATTCAGTGGATTACATAATCTTTGTCCAAAATGCATTATACTAGTTTTCGTCAAATTTATTTTTAAATTATTATTATCAAGCCATGAAATTACAGATGTCAATGTCTAAATTATATTGGTAGATGTCATTACACGGAATTATAATTGTGCTGTCGTCAGCAAACAATGTCATAGGTTGAGTTATTGTTTTTGGCAAGTCATTTATGTAAATAATAAATAAGAGTGGCCCCAGAACGCTGCCTTGAGGAACACTGTAAGATATATCACGTGTTGTAGAGGTGTATGTTACCTCAGTTTTTGTACTTATATTAATTCTATTTATTTCAGTTACTTGTTTTCGGTTTGTCAAGTAAGATTGTACCAATTTCAAAACATTTCCCCTTATGCCATTGGCTTTAAGTTTATCTACTAGTATACCATGGTGCACATAATCAAACGCCTGTGACATGTCACAATATATTGAGCATACTGGAGACGATTTATCTACATGAGACAATACATTGGCTATGAATTCATAAATGGCCATATTTATAGTTTTGTTTTTTCTAAAACCTTTTTGTTCATTGCAAAGAATATTATTTTTCTCTAAATATGTGTTCATTTCACTGTACAGATATTTTTCAAATATTTTAGCAAATATTGGTATAAGTGCAATCGGTCTATAGTTTTCTAGTGTTTGTCTATTCCCTTTTTTGAACAGAGGTTTAATGATTGTTGTTTTAAGCTGTGTTGGAAATATTCCCTTCGCAATGCATAGGTTTAGTATATGACTCAGATGTTGGGAGATGGTTTCATTTACAGATTTTATTATTTTCGTGGAAATACTGTCATGTCCCACACTATTTGTATTTTTTAAACTTTTAATGATTTTATTAACCTGTTGCGCCGAAACAGGTGCAAGAAACATTGAGTTAAGAGGACGGTTAATCAAATTTGTCACATTTTTTCCAGCTCCATAAATAGGTTTCACTTTTTCAATAAAATAATCATTAAATAAATTTGCTAAATCTTTTGGATTTGTAACATACTTAGTGTCATTGATTTTTATATTTTTGATAGTTTCTTTTGGCACATTAAGTCGCATTTTGTTTATTATTCGCTGTTCACGCGAGGATGTGAACATGCCGACGCAGCAGGGCAGTGACCGCGATGAACCAGAATCAACCTCAATCGTAGTTATGTGTCGCAACAGTGTTGATCTACGCGGTTTCACACAAATGCATTCGTATAAGTAATACACCTATACATGTAAATATATTAATATAAATAGCATGTAAATCTTTAATAAATTCTCTTTCTACGCTTCGAGCAACGCTGTTTCATTCGACGAGACCATCGACTCCTCTCACTGTTACTGCGCCTATAAATAGTTACCGATAGCTCTGGCATCACTCAGCCTTTGTTATTGGTCGGTCCGTGAGGCTGCGGATCGGCAGTGAGAAAATCCCTTCCTATACACCTTTCATCCTTCCCACCGTCCGTCTGTTGCCTTAGGTCTCATGGTAACAGGCATCCCGCACTATATATATATAAGTATATATTGTACCTATATGGTTAGGGCTAGGTTGTTAGGTGCAAATAGGATTGTTGTTAGGTTGTTAGGTGCAAATAGGATTGTTGTTAGGTTGTTAGGTGCAGGTAAGATTGTTGATAGGCTACAGTCAACCCCCTTCACTGTACATTTAGATCCCTGAATGTACATTTGGTCCTTCGAGCATTTTGAATCCGCGGCCCTATCTGTCCCCCCTAGGACTATGACATAGACAGACAGACAGACACGTTTCAGAAGATACAGGCTGGTGTACTAAAACCGCATCAGTTTGTGGCACTCTGAGACAGATAGATACTGTACGTTGCTATATCCTGTAGACATCTCTCGTCGGTAGCGATTCGGTGACTGGCCTTCCACAAGCGGATCTCACCAGTTCATTGAGAAGGCGCATAAATACCGAGCCGAGAGTGTGGGAGAGGCAAGTACAAATAGGGTAGCTGGGTTAGGAAAAGGGTAGGGACTAGGGACGCTCAAGAAAGAAGATTGATAAAGAAGAAATCGGGAGACAATGGACATTATTAGAATCAACGAACTCATCAAAAGCCAGGAAAACGACTATATTGAATTAAAAAGAACATGGGATAACATTAAAAAGGACTCATCATCAAGGAAAAATCAAAAATACATAACAGAAAGAAGAGCAAAATTGAACAGCGTGTATGAAAGAGCATCGCAGAACCATAGACTTCTACAAGACCAAGAGATTCTATCGACTCACAAATATTTGACACTTAATTATTTCGACACTCATATACAAACCATGTATGATGCAGTTATAGATCACTTGAAAGAATGTGAAGACAAGCTACATCAGACTAAAAAAGTCAGCGACATTAAAATAAACGATGATAAACAAGAAGACATGACTATTTCGCCAAAGTTATTCGTTCAAAAGTACAGACTAAACCAACTTAAGAAGAAAATTGAGACTGCAAAGACCGCCGTTGTCCAACAAAAACCAGCGTGGCAACTACAAGCTCTGATTAATAATCTAGAAAAACTGTTTCAAGATATAGAAGAAACACACATACAATTACTAATGGAGCAAAGTACAATCGACGACGAATACTTCAATAATGATTGCTTTACAGACGCACAAGAACAATTCGAGGAAATAATACAAGACTTACATGAGCAAATCAACGACAAAACAGTACAAACGAGCAGAAATCACCCTACTAAGTTACCAAGAATTAACATTCCTTCGTTCGCTGGGAATTACGAGTCATGGAATTCATTCTATGATCTATTTAAGAAAATTATTGACGAAAACTGTACTATTTCCACAACAGAAAAAATGCAATACTTAAAAACGCATGTCCGAGGTGACGCGGAGAAGCTGATAAAGCATTTGACAGTAAACGAGGTCAACTATAAAGCAGCGCTTACACTGTTAGAAAACCGATACAAAGACGAAAGAAAAATAACACAGACATTCATTGATAAATTAATAGACCTGCCCAAAATTCAGACTCCAAACGCCAAAATGCTACGTAATATGCATGACTGCATAAACGAAAGCCTGGAAGCGTTAAAAACTCAAAATATTAATATATCAACATGGAGCCCAATTTTAACCAGAATGGTAAATCGTAAGTGGGACCCTGACACCAACATGAGATATGAAGACCAATTACAGGAGCCAAACAAGTTACAAGATTTTAAAGAATTAATGAAGTTCTTAGAAAAACGCTTCAAAAGTTTAGAATCAAGCGCCAATATGACAACAACAAACGATTTGCATTCGACATACTCACCAAATATGCAAGGAAAAACTAATTGGCAAGAAAAAAAAGGACTCTGTTGGTACTGTCAAAAAGACCATAATATTCATTATTGTCAAGCATTTAAGGCATTACTTGTCAATGACCGCATTCGTAAAGTGCAAGAAAAACAAATGTGTTATGTATGTCTCATGCACGATGCAAAAAAAGAGTGCATCAGCAATAAGTACAAACATTGTGAAATATGCAATAAGGCACATTCTACACTATTGCACAG